ATATATATATATATATATATATATATATATATATATATATATATATATATATATATATATATGTATATACATTCTATGTTAAAAGTTTAAATATTCGTATTTAAATACCAAATAAGAATGTTCAGGATTAGATACGTGTCCGGCAATTGATACTTTTACTTTAACGACTACTGACACGGGCCTCAGATTTCTATTCAGCGTTAGAACCAAATTTTTCCAAGTTGAATTACGATACACGCGACATTTGTGTCTATGAGCGCAATTCAGCCGGAAAACTCTTATTCGAATCCGGATTCAAACCCGAGTATCCCACTTGAAACGAATTTCAAGAGCGGTAACTATTAACACGGGCCCCGAACGAGACGCATTCGTTCAGTAAATATTCATCAGGCCGATACGAATCGCGCGTTCGGAGTCACGTGCGTGACGGATGAAACAAAGTTACGGGGCAAACACAAACGCGTTTGGAATGCGCGGGTTCAAAGTGCAGGACACTTGAATATTCCGGAAGATTTGATTCGACGGGAAACACGGTCAAATTGCATCATACGTCTCAAATATTTACGAATGTCGCGACGCCAAACGTTTCATCGTCGCGTACACACACACGCGCGCGCGAAATGTTTGCATTCGTCGGATGTCGGACAACTCGTTCGCGTCGTCCGCGTCGTCACGCGTCATCGGCGTTAACGCAGCGGCAGCGACTACATACGTACCGTACAACCTGATCTTCCCGTCGTCGTTCGTCAGTATAATAATGTATCCTCCTAGATCGACCATTTTCGCTAGTAATTATCCTCCGTACACGACGGGGGGAGGGGCGAGGGGGGCAGAGGGGGGTAGTCCGCTATTAGATTACCTCGGGGGGGCACTTCGCGCAAATGACGCGCGCAACGTGCACGGTAAATCACTAATTACTTCGCACTACGGGCGTACGGCGGGTCCGCCCCGAAAAATCGGTCCGCCGTTATTAACGTCGTTAGCACATGCCATTTTCCCGGTTTCCTCTTGCATCTTCTCACTTCGTGTATTAGTATCGACCTCGTGACCTACTTTGGCCGCCAACACACGACGCTTTATATTTTTCGCGACGCGGCGAAACGCACTTTTCTCACCCGGCTCGCTTTCCGCGCTCGCCTCTCTCTCTCTCTCTCTCTCTCTCTCTCTCTCTCTCTCGCTCTCTCTCCTTTTCTCCTCTTGCGCCGAGTGATTCTACCGTATGGCGTAACGTGCATGTAACCGCGCCTTTGACGATTATATGTCGCGCGAAGATCGTTGAATCGGAGGAACTCTTTCTTTCTTCTTTTTTCCCTCTCTCTCTCTCTCTTTCTCTCCGTTAAACGAACACTAAGGCATCTATGCTCCACACGAGGGTGGTTATAAGAAAATCTCTACTACGACGAGAGAGAAATACGGTACACGTTCGATAACGAGAAGCCATCTAAGAGATGGACTAAGGAACACATAATTATCTCTTACGTTCGACACTCGCCGCTCGCGTTTATCTTTCCCTTTTCTTCTTGAAACTCTTCCCCCTCGTCTACGCTCGCCAGTCCGGCAAAAGCCGCGATTTCCTCGTTCGTTAGATATCGTCCTCGATATCGGCCCGTCGTCGAGAGGAGAGCGAGAGGATGCGCGGCGCCTCCACGAGGCCCGATAGCGCGGGCCCCCCTACATCCTTACGACGACGTTCCTCGCGAGCCTCGGCGTGGAAGAATAGCGATCGCCGGTTCACAATCTCGCGGCTTGCGTCTTATTGATCACCGCTTCGACTAACGCCGCTTCCGTGCTCGCATCGCCGGCCATCGTCCCGTCGTAGCGCATCCACCGCATCGGCCGTGCCGGTGCACGGCGCCGGAAGCGCGTACACCTCCGACGACGACGAGCTGCTGCTGCTGCTGCTGCTGCTGCTCCTACGATCCCGCTGCGCGCGTTATAGCGCTACCACCTCTCGTGCGGCCGTACGTCGGCGACGATCGTTACGAGGCATCGGGCCAGCAGCGTAGGGATCGAGCACGACGTCCCGGTCTTCCAGCGGGACTCCCCGCCGACGATCGACAGCATCGCGCGCGATTCTCCTCGCTCCCTTAACGCGCTACTCGCGTCCCCTTCTCGCGCTACTCTTGACGCAACGAGGACTCTGGGAGCTGCTCCGTCGCGCCGTCCGTACACTTCTCCGGTGTGCCGCCTCTGCTGGTCACTCCAGGTAGCGCGGCGGCGACGACGACGACGACGACGACGAGGACGACGACGAGGAGGACGACGACGGAGGAGAACGACGAGGAGGAAGGCGAGGATCCCGCGATCGACATTACCGCGTCACCGACATGTCCCAACCTTGCTCGCGCTCTTGTGATTCCGAGACGGAGTTTCTCCTCGCAGTTGGACCGTTCGTACCTATATCTCGGCGAAGGACGCGCGAAGGGAATCCCACTCTAGACAGCCCGGTTTTCCTCGCGAATCGGAGCTCCGCGACTCTGCGAGCTTCTCGCCTCGAACGGACTTCTCTTTGGACGTTGAGAGCGACACTGACGGCAATTCCCGCTCGCGCGATCGTCTTCCTCGCGCTGCTCTCCTCCCTCGTATTCGCACGGATCTCGCGATTGTGTGATGCACGCACTGCTCTAGATTTCTTACGTCCTCTCCCGTCACGACGGTACGCAACCTCCACCCTGCTAATCGGACGCACGGTATGCACCTCGGCACTTGCGGCGCAACGTCACCCCCGGCCGAAACGCGAGTTAACTAACCGAGCGGGGGTGGAGGTCCGTCTCGCGTTCCACCGAGCCGCGGCGACGTCGCGAGGCCTCAGAAGGGAACGGGACGCACACCCGCAGCGATGGGTGTGAACCCGTGTGCGTGCGCGTTGACCGACGGCGGCGGCAGCCCTGCGACACACCGCCGTCTCTCACGAGCCGAAGCGCCTTCAACCCTCGCCACGAAGCGGCGTCAGTGGCGTCGGTAACGCGCCGGCGTCGTCCCGTTGGCGGCAACCCCCGGTCTTCGACTTCCGAGCCCGTCGCAACCTTCACGCTGTACATCCCATTTGTCGTCCCGCGAGCTCTCGATATATTTCTCCTATGTATAAACGATAAATAACGCAAAGGACCAATCGTTCCCGAGCTGCGAAGTGCCGGTGAAGGAAGGAGGGGCATCCCACGGAAATCGCGAGAATTACGCCGACGCGTCCCCGAAGTCACCGCTGGCGTTATCTGTCGTGCGACGAAAAACACGGAGAGCGCCGTTTTATCGACTGCTTTTGTTGACTACGGCTCCTTTAATGACTTTCAGAGGAAAGTTTCCTCTGACGGAAGTTAAATGGAAAACCATTATTCCGCGCGATCTCTTCATTTTTGACGTGGAACACTGCACTTCTATTACACGACTCGAGATGCTTTCGAACTGATTAACGATCGATGGGGACGAGTTCGCTACTCTCGTCATTTTCTTATTACACTTTTCACAGTACATAGGCGAATAAAGTGATAGCAAACAATAGATAGAGATAAGCGATAGAATCAACCTGTCACTGCAGAAACTGCATTTAAAGATACGAGTGTGTCATAGAAAAATAAAAGATGAATATAGTCAAATTAACACAATCATTTTCTCATATATAAGCAAGAATATTATTGGTTATATATGAGAAAATGATTGTGTTAATTTCATTATATTCGTTTTAATTAAAGATTAAGAGATTCTACAAACACGAATATTCTTTTTCCTATGCATCAACACATTGTTATAACCCAGGAAGATGATGCTAGCTGTTATAATTTCGATACACGGATAATCGTTTCTATCTTTGAAATTGAACAGTAAAATATTACTGATAAAAACAACATCTTGCTTATTATCGAATTACTTTTACATAGATTCTATTCGTGCACAAATATTTCAAGAATCTTCACACGGTAATTTAAGAAGTTTTGGGGGATTCCAACGGGACCAACTTTAAAATGAATATGATATCTGATAGACTCTAATGCCTGTTTATCCCTCAGGGAGCCGCGAGATCCTCGCACGTTCCTGCAGGTGCACGTGCACAGGAAACGCGTGCAAACCGAAGGCGGGACAGAGAGAACTGCAAGACCGTAAGATCAATATAGGGGATGTTAGTTCGGTAACTGCCTTTCTGCTTTCTCTCTCCCGCTCGGTCGCATATACATACACGTCTCCTTTCTCCAGCTTCCGTCTTATGTAATTGCGTTATCGCGGTAAAGTCGTACGGAATCAGCGTCGCCCCATTGTCTACGATCGACGACAACATTTGATTTTAAATACGAATTAATAATAATTCGTATAATCGTAACGCCGTATAACGGATAATCGTAAAGCGAGTTACGTGCTTGAATTTCATTTAAAAGATCCTTCTTCGATCTCGCTGAAGCGAAACTAGTAAATCGTATATTTCGATTTAATTCCTGACCATATGACGATTCCATGCTAGTATGTACGATTAAATGTCTTGAATTTGCAGATTCACAATCGCGCTTATAAATCATTATTAATCATTCAGTCTTAGATAGCACACACCTCCAGGAAAATCTTGTGGACGTCCTTGTGTCCTCAGGATGTCCCTTGGAAGATTTGTGCTGTCTAAAATTTGCACCTCTGTTCGTGACACGATTGTATTGTTTTCATTTTGCTGACGATAAATCCCTTTCTCTTATAATAAACGCATCGTGCATATGCATTTTTACGTAGAAGAATCAATTCCTAGTAGACAAACTGGATTGTTTCAATTACAATAACATATACAATAACATATACAATAATATATACATATTATATGAAGAATTTCATATTTAATAATAAAGATCTTCCTAACCTATATCTAAGTCGCACATTTGAACCGAGTTGTCTGATATATTATTAAGTCATACTACTTGAAAAGTTAAAGTTTCTCTGACTGATACAGATATAAAACATTGGGAATAATCAATTACCTTATAATATTACAGTAACCATCTAATATCAAAAGTCTCGAATCCGCCAGCCTCTTTGAAAATAAAAGTCAGTTGAGTCGTGCTCTACGACCTGGATTTGTTGGTAATGATGGTGGCGGTTCGAAGTAAAGATCTGCAAACTACATTTTTGAAGTAACAGCCAATCGTGTGCGCGCTTAACAGACTGTATGGCGCCATCAAGCGGTGTCGCGAGGAAATTTTTTAGAGCAGAGCCGTATCGTTTTATCGGTCAGTGTTATTGCCGGAAACAAGAGTCAAGTATTTTATCATGGTTGAAGCACTAATTAGATACGATAAGCGGTTATCAACAACATGAGTCTAAGTTAATGCGTAAATTCTCTTTGTTTCCAATACATGTACATACAGGAATGTGATTGCCTCGTATCACTCTTTGGAGACAGTTGTGCATGACACGATCGACATACAAACAGAGATAGGTATAATACTTTTATAATCATAAATTATTTCTAAGTGTAAATTAATTCGTGCGCGTAATAAAGCGAAATATTGTTCTAATATATATATATATATATATATATATATATATATATATATATATATAAAATATATATATACATATACATAGTATGGTAATAACCAAATATAAAACTTATCATTTAATGATATTTTTTCATTTTTTGTAGATAAGATGCTTCTACATATTACGTTTATAATTTTATCCTTCCTTTCCACTGTGTTTGGTGTGTTATATTATCAGCCAGAAGCTGTACATCTTTCCTATGGAGGTAAGTTGTCATTTTAATATGCTCATTGTCTTTTACTGTTTACTCATTGTTATTACTCATTATTTAAAATATATGAATACACAATGAGATGTAAGATTTGTACTCTTAATAAGAGATATATTTACAGATCTTTTTGTATTTCTCTTTAAATAATAGCAACTAAAAATGCTAATAATGATTAATACAGATCATATTCTGTATATAATTTTCAGATAATATTCATGATATTGTTGTAACATGGAGCACAAGAAATGACACTAAAGAATCACTAGTAGAATATGGCATAGGTGGATTTGTTTTGCAAGTTAAGGGAAATTCTACTCTTTTTATTGATGGTGGAGTTGAAAAGCAGAGACAATATATTCATAGAGTATGGCTGAAAAATTTAAATCCCGACAGCAGATACAGTAAGATACATTATGGTGTTTCATTATTATTGCTATATTTTCAGTAGTAATATCTTGTCTCTTATTACCAGTATACCGTTGTGGCAGTCACTATGGATGGTCAAATGTATTTTATATGAAGACTGCACCTAAAGATTCTATAAATTGGTCACCACAGATAGTGTTATTTGGTGACATGGGCAATGAGAATGCGCAGAGTTTGTCACGATTGCAAGAAGAGACAGAACGTGGTTTATACGATGCAGCCATCCATGTTGGTGATTTTGCTTATGATATGCACACTGATGACGCACGTGTAGGTGATGAATTTATGCGGCAGATTGAATCTGTTGCTGCTTATATACCGTACATGACTGTGCCTGGTAACCATGAAGAAAGATACAATTTTAGCAATTACAGGTATGTTTAAGCGGCTAATTTCACTTGTTGACAGAAAATGTATACCATTTTAATGATTTTCTAGGGCACGATTTACAATGCCTGGTGATTCAGAAGGCTTGTGGTATAGTTTTAACCTAGGTCCTGTACATTTTGTAGCAATAGAAACTGAAGCTTATTATTTTATGAATTATGGCATAAAACAAGTGGTTAAGCAATATGAATGGTTGGAAAAGGATCTACAGGAAGCTAACAAGCCCGAAGCAAGGTATATTATCAATTAAATCTTAATAAGAATAAAAACTGATAGAGAATTTACGGTTGCAGGAATCAACGGCCATGGATAGTAACATTTGGGCACAGACCAATGTATTGCAGCAATGCAAATGCAGATGACTGCACTAACCATCAAAGTTTGATCAGAGTTGGATTACCCTTTCTTAATTGGTTCGGGCTGGAAGATTTGTTTTTCAAGCATAAAGTAGATTTAGAGATATGGGCGCACGAACATAGTTATGAAAGAATGTGGCCCATGTATAACTTCCAAGTATCTGTCACTCAATATTATTTTTTTCTTTTTTGTGGAAAATTCATAGTAATTATAAAAATTGTAATTGCAGGTATATAACGGTAGTTATGAGGAGCCATATAAAAATTACAAAGCACCAGTACATATAGTTACTGGATCGGCTGGTTGCAAAGAAGGTCGAGAGAAATTTATCCCAAAACCACCAAATTGGTCTGCATTCCGTAGCTCAGACTATGGATACACCAGAATGAAAATATTTAATAAAACTCATATTTATCTAGAACAAGTACGTTATATGATAGTATAGAAGAAAATATCATATCTTGTGTGTCTTAATTGTAAATCTTGTTTCTATTGTACAATAGGTATCCGATGATAAAGACGGCGCTGTCTTGGACAGAGTTTGGCTGGTGAAAGAAAAACCTTGGCCACTTTACGCAGACGTTTCTACAGAATAATGACATAAATTTAGTATAATGAATGCCGTGCAACAAAGCAAAAAATAAACACATGAAGATATTACACATATGTGAAATAAGTATCGTTAGTAAAAGTGAAGTTATTCATTAATTTCATTTATGTATTATATGATAATATAATTTGAATTTAGTACACACATTTTGTTAAATGTGTAACTGCCACAATTGAAATATATGCATGAATAAATTAGTATAATTTACGTATGTGCGAGTAAAAAATTAGTAAATGCAAGACGCGTACAATATAATCCTTTAATTGTTAAAATATAAATATATATATATGTATAATTTTATTATAGTATTATATATATATATGTATATAGTATTAGTGTATATAAGATTTCATATTTCCATCTAACTCACAATTACTATTCAATGATATATAAAGATACATAACGAATAGCTTGACTTTATTAGGAAAACGAATGTTTCGATTAAAAATTTATGTTATAATTAGAAATGTGTGAGTTTCTTCACTTTGACATATCACGTATGATCTGACTTCGAATAAATCTTGAACCGCGCTCATAGTTGCGACTACAAATTTCTTAAATTCATATTCTTATATATATTAACCAGTTTTGAACTTTCGTAAGCATGTGTGGAATAGTTTACCTAAACGATATAAAGATTGTGACTAGTTTCGATAGATTTAAAGATAGGACAATTAAACTGACTGTATGATTATTTTATATTTTCGTATTCGCATTCAAGTGTAACAATATTACTCGCATTAAAGAATGATTATATATGCTAAGCACTTTAATCACAATTATGCACAAATGATTTTGTACCAATAACTATACTATCTGGCAACAATTTCGTTTTCATGATAAATCAACGAATTATTCGCGCACAATATTGTATTTCGCCTCATTTTTCGCCTTTTGCTACTTATCACGATTAAAGAACTATCCCAATAGATATCTCTTAGAGGGAAATTCTTATAGAATAGGCGGAAAATATTTCAAGCCATGAGCTTCCTCCAAACGATTTCCTCTTTGCAAATAATTCCAAAAATAGACGAACATTTCGAACAAGTATGCCGAACTCGATACGACTCGCACATTCCGCTAGTTTCGAATACTCGCACATCTCCAATTATTGCCAGTCATAATAATAACTTTATAAGGCTAAAAAAGTGATCTTCCGAATTTATACAATTCGTTCAATTAAAGCTGATTTTTTTCTACAATTCTACTTTCACAATAGATAAACCACTTCCTTCTTGTTCTTCTTTATTGGCCTTTTGCCATTTTTAATTTTCTACTTTGGCATCTGCCGTAAGTCATCTACCGGATTAAAAAGGATCAAGAACTGCCTCTTCATAAATAAGATAATAAACAGATAATAAGATAATAAACAGTGACAGCAAATTTGGAAAGTGTCAAGCGTTGGTTTTGTTAAACACAAGATTATACTTATTACCACACGTTCCTTTAAGACGAGAAAACTGTTCAATATTCACAATACGTGTCTCAAGGAGCTTTAGTTAACTTGATTCAATTGAGAACGTAATTTAATCCCTGTCGTAATCCTTCAAGCTTATGCAGCAAGTATTAATCGTACTATATCGATCTAATCTTACAGTATACATTTTGCCATATATAATTTTAATGAATAGTTATGTGTATAGGTGTTATATGCGCGCGCACACTTATACGCATAAATCTAATTCGCCGTTGGAGATATGTGTGACGATCTCATAGGATGCGTTAAAAAAAAGCATCATAAAGAAAGATAATTTGATTCATCTGCCTATTGGGAAAGCTTTAAGCTTCGCAGACAATCGTCGGATACATATTGTAATCAGATGTTTCTGTTTGAGATTTTTCATGCATTGAAAACCACACATCTCGTTATATTAATTAAGCGAGACACTTGACACTGTCAGTGATTAATAGAAACAATGGAAGAAGTTGCCGCAGAGTGACTGTCTTGGTATGAAAACTGGGGGAAATGTTCTTGTTCTTCTGCTATAGAATTCAGACCTCCTCCACTACCTAAACAGCCTTGATCTGGAGGTGTAAGTTCAACACTTTCGCCGGTAAATTCACTATCAAAATATCGAGTGTCAATATCAGAAGTCACTTGCGGCTTAAAAGGAGGAGGAATCTTCTTCTGAACGAGGTCCGTCCAATTGATACACGAGAAGAACGCGTGGTTCATGATATCCTTCGCATCGTTAGGTCCACCGCCTAATCTTCTACTTGGGTCCTTTATTAACAAACCTGTGTGAAAATAATGCGTGTCAATCTTCTGACTCGAGAACACTATGGCCACGAGAGTTTTATTAGTAACACTCACCACCGAGCATATCCCTTGCTTCGTTGCTAATCGTTCTAGGAAACCTTACTTCTTCCAATAAAATAAGCGTAAACAGCTTTTCATGATCTCTGTTGTAAAAAGGTAATCGGCCACACATCATTTCATACATGACTACACCCACACCCCACCAATCTACAGCTCGCCCGTAATCATTATCCTCGAGTACTTCTGGTGCCAAATACTCTGGGGTTCCACAAAAGGTCTTTGTTGTTCTTCCTATAAACGCACGCACGCACACACACACACGCGCGCGCACGCAAACACACACACACGCACGCACACGCAAACACACACACACACGCACGCACACGCAACACACACACACACGCACACACACACACACACACACACACATATATATATATATTTCTCTTTTGTGAAATTGTATTAAGATTTGTTTAACATCATTAACTTTACTCTATTTTCCAGCTTACGAATAATACAAACCATATGTAATGTCTTCTTTACATAAACCAAAGTCAGCAATTTTTATATGTCCGTCTTTATCCAGAAGGAGATTTTCCAATTTGAGATCACGGTATATAATGCCTTGCGAGTGCAAATAACCAAGGGCCGATATAATTTCTGCACCATAAAATCGAGTACGGTCTTCGCCAAACACTCGCGACCGACTCAAGTGAAAAAATAGCTCGCCACCATTTACATATTCCATAACAAAACACAGCCTATCCGCTGTTTGAAAACTATATTTCAAGGACTGAAAATTTATAAAAAAATTAATTTCACGTATAGCTATGTCATGTAACATGACAAAAATAGATTGTATATTATGAAATAACAACATAAAATATTTGATAAGATTAACTTATCTAACTTTAACTTATTAACGAGGTACTTTATATATAATTAACATACAATTAAAAAAGGATGACTCGTAGTACGTAATACTCTATTTTCAGTAAGTGTGTGCGCCACTTCATCTTTACGAATAATAACTTCTTTTCTCAAGATTTTGATAGCGTATAAATGCCCTGTTGCTTTTTCTCTACATAGAATTACCTTCCCGAACGTACCTTTCCCCAAAACTTTTAAAAATTCGAAATTCTCGAGTGTCTGAAACATACAATAAATAACTTATGTAGATAACTCATGAAAAAGAGATAATTTTCAGATAAGAGATTCTCTAATATAAACACATATTATTCAGCATACTCAGCAATAGGTTTAGAAAGGTCTAGAAATGATTAGATAAGATTACAAAGATAAGCAATGTAACTTACTACTTTCTTTTTACCAGAACTTTTACTACTTGAAGTTCCTTGTACACTGAATTTTGCTGATAATTCATCGATACTACCACCGTCTATATCTGTAGATACAACACCTAAAGAAGTGCAGGAATCAGACCTAGTACCTATTGATGATTCCATATCAACATCTTCCGAAGAGGAAGATTGTTGCATTTGTGGTTGTTCTTGCTGCTGATGTTCTTCATTTGCTAATCTATCTGCTACATATCTGTGAAAGGAAATATGGAAAAGGACATGTCAACATGAGTTCTCAAAGAGAACTTGTCAACATTTGGAATTTCTATAGATAAGAGCAGACCTGATTGCTGCCACCCAGTCTTCCCTTTCCTGTTCAGTTTCCACATGAAATGTCCTTTCAATTACTGTTGTCCACTGCAGGCCTCTGATAACAAAAGTATACGGCTTAGGTCTATCCACTGACATTATTTGGCACCCACGCACTGTGAAGTTATTCAATGGCTGTGCGGATGTAGCCATTTGTTGATCAGGTTTTGCCTTGAATCCTACCAGTGTACCGTCATCTCGCAAGACAAAATATCTTGACCTCCAATTCTTAATGTGCTCACCTGCAAATAAATAACTCTATGTATACAACCTGCTCTTTGTTTTAACAATTTACATATTTTATTCTCATGATTATATCTCTTATCTAGTCTCATCTAGTCTCATCTAGTCTCATCAAAAATAGATTTAAAATTACAAAATACAATCAGATAAGAACGCCAATATCTAGGAGAAAAGTTAATTGACATTTAATGTTGCATTCCAACGCATATATTTCGTCTATAGTGCGCCATAAAATGCGCATCGCGACCGCACATAAGTGACATAAAAACACACCGATGGCCAACTTGTGCGAAAACGTCACGCGGACGTAACGCGCGAGATTCGACTCGGTCGCGAATTTTTGTCAACGTCTCTCATCGTTGTTCCGTATGATAATTAAGATCGACAAGAGGAAAATACAGATGCGCTCCGCATGTTTGAGCCGCGATATCGTATTTTTGCATCGCGTCAACGAGGATAGCACAACAGTTCGTGACAGTTGTGACCGCGCGTGACATACGCTCGTTAGCGAAACAACGTGGAGAACAGCGTGCGACAGTAGGGGACATGGCGACGAACAAACATTGTGCAAAACGTAAATATTATGAAAACGTCGTTGACAGTACCGCGTTTCTGGAGCCAGCCTTCTTTGACGATACGTTGACCGCTGCCGCCGCTGCCGCCGGCGCCGCCGCCGCCACCGGACGCTGCGACGTTCATCGCTGCGTCCCCCATGGCTCGAACGTCGATGCGCACTTGTCGATATTTCACCGATACTCCGAATTACGTTCTCTCCTAGAAATTCCACAGAAATCGCGGACACGCAGTAGCGGGAGTGGTGCGCGTATACAAACTTGAGTAATCATAGATACGCGTGCGGCAGGTAATACATATGTACACAGTGATCGTCGACGTGATAGCGCTGAACCGAAAGAGACGTCAGTTGCGGCGCAACTGTCGCTCGACCCTAAAGTTGCTCCACAGAGGCGCGTTCTGTCCCAATTGATGATTCACACGCTTCTGATAATCGACGTTGGTATAGTGTATGTTCGTGTGCGTATTACGCCATATCGATATCCAATCGGAGAGCTCGCTTTCTAGGGTCTATAGTGACATTTTTGCCTCTGATATTGTCTCTACCGCTCTACCACTCTTGTAACGCACACTTCTCGTGCGCGTTTTTAACGCGCGTCTCACCCATCTGTGAGCATACTTTCGATGACAGTTAGACAGCAAAATAAGTGAAGATGGCGGTCACCATGGATTCCGTAAGGGAAAAAGCCCTTCAAGATTTTCGAAAAAAGCTCTTGGAACACAAGGAAGTAGAGTCACGTCTTAAAGAAAGTAAGACGCTTTCGTCGGGATTGTCAAATTTATCAAAAAAAATGTATTTACAAAATATCAGAGACTTAACCTCATCTTGCATTCTACCCTTTCATTGTCCTTCCATCCTGCTTACATTATACTTCCTTTTATCATTTTTATGCTCTTAGAGGTTTTCTTTTTATAATGTTAATGCATTTATGATATATTATGTTTGAAATGATCATTTTACTAAAATAACATGATACTTGTTTTTTCTCTTTTAAGTGAGAGAACATCTCAAAGACCTGACTAAGCAATATGACAAATCTGAAAATGATTTGAAAGCGTTACAAAGTGTTGGACAAGTATGTAGATTTTTGTTATAATTTTAAAATACAGGTACCAATATGTATATAATGTCTATTTAATGATTAACTATGGATGTTATAGATTGTTGGAGAGGTACTGAAACAACTTACAGAAGAGAAGTGTAAGTAATTAATGTATATAAATTATGATACATATTCTTATCAATATGTACAGAACAAGAAATAATTATGTGTTTAACTTTTCAGTTATTGTGAAAGCAACCAATGGTCCACGTTATGTTGTTGGATGTCGGCGTCAGTTGGATAAAAACAAGTTAAAATCTGGAACCAGAGTTGCTCTAGATATGACAACTCTGACAATTATGCGCTACCTACCACGTGAAGTGAGGAACTTGTTAATTTCTTATATAAAAAATTACTTTATATAAGAACGAAGAAATTATTTCTTTAATTTTAAATATTAAAAAATTTGATCTTTTTTTGTTTCTAGGTTGATCCTTTAGTCTATAACATGTCTCACGAAGATCCTGGTGACGTCACGTATTCCGCGATTGGTGGTTTAAGTGAACAAATACGCGAGCTGCGTGAAGTTATAGAATTGCCATTATTAAATCCTGAACTCTTCCAAAGAGTCGGTATCACTCCTCCCAAAGGATGCCTGTTGTATGGCCCTCCTGGCACTGGGAAAACGTTACTGGCGAGAGCTGTTGCTAGTCAGTTAGATGCAAATTTCCTAAAGGTTGTCTCAAGTGCAATTGTCGATAAATATATCGGAGAATCTGCCAGGTTGATCAGAGAAATGTTCAATTATGCTCGTGACCATCAACCATGTATTATATTCATGGACGAGATTGACGCTATCGGTGAGAATACACGATATTTATAGTGAGTATAGAAATATTTCAATTTGAATTACGGATGTATCCATATTCAATTGCGCATAGGTGGCCGCAGATTTTCGGAAGGAACCAGTGCTGATCGAGAAATCCAGAGAACTCTGATGGAATTGTTGAATCAGATGGACGGATTTGATTCTTTGGGCCAAGTCAAAATGATAATGGCCACAAATAGACCTGACACTTTAGATCCTGCGTTATTACGACCTGGAAGACTGGATAGAAAAATTGAAATACCTTTACCAAATGAGCAAGCTCGTCTGGAAATATTAAAGATACATGCCTTGCCGATAGCTAAACATGGTGAAATTGGTAAGATACTTGTGTGTCTTACATGTATTTGATGTACATACTATGATGTGAATACTATATTAATGGCATTTCTCTGATTAAATACACAGATTACGAGGCAGTGGTCAAACTTTCTGATGGATTCAATGGGGCTGATCTAAGAAATGTATGCACAGAGGCAGGACTGTTTGCCATACGATTAGAAAGAGAATACGTAATTCAAGAAGATTTTATGAAAGCTGTCAGAAAGGTTTCTGACAACAAGAAGTTGGAATCTAAGTTAGATTATAAGCCTGTGTAATCTGTAATTCGCTATTTTATATTTTGAAAGTGACACATATATTAAATATATTGATTTCTATATAGTCCAATTTGGATCATATAAGTGTTAACATTAACAAACTTGTACAATACAGTTAATATTGGCACAATTTAGCACCTTTAATTTAAAATATGCATCTTTGATGATGAATGATCAAGATAGATTTAAATTATCATAAATGTTTATTTACATATTTTGTGAATGTGCTGAACAATGGCTGTATTTATAATATTTCTAAAAACAATATTACAATATCTACAGTACATTGCTAACTGCGAGACGAATTTTTTTCCTTTCCATATATTCCTGTACGTTGTCAAACTTTCTCTTGTATAAAATAGGAAAGAAATTCTGCTTAATGGTAATATCTTTTAAAGTTTCCCAGGATTTATTAAGATGTTTCATTGCGCAATTCAAAGTATCGTGAGCAACAAATCTACTATCCTGGAATTTGTATACTTTTAGTCCTATATCTGTTAGTACCCACAGATCCTGTTTATGTAGAAGGCAATTCACTGGCTCAAGTTCTATAGATAAGGATCCCAAGTAATTAGCTTTCATTTGTATTTCTTGATTACTAGTAATGCTGTAAATTAATAATACTTCACTACTGTAAAAACTTATTACAATCAAAGATTCCCTTTTATCAAGACAAGATACTCTCATATGTTTGACAGGCAGCACATCTACATACTCATTGTAGCAATTATCACGGAGATCTTGATTAAATTTCTCAACCACACATTTGGATATTTTGTCGCAAAAATTTACAGACATTAATTCAGTCCCATGCTTGTAGTCCCATAATTTTACATTTCCATCACCACCGCATGATACTAAGATGCTTTTGTCATGAGGTAACTCTGAGATATTTGTCACAAATTTGGTATGTCCCAAACAGTAAGATACAATGTTGTAGCTGTTGGGGTACATGGAAACTCTAATTTTTTCATCTCTATCAGTCGTCAATATATGCTTCATATCTTGTGTGACGAGTACATCAAGAAGCATCGACAAATGTCCCAGAATTAAAACACCATTTTCCATCGGAGAGCTAGTAGAAAATAGGTAGGCATCCCCAGACTTATCAGCAACCACGACATCGTTGTTTGGAGAGAACCTCATCGTACTTGCAGCTCTGGGAAGTGTTCGATTAGACAGAAGCTTTGTGTCCTTTGTTTCATACAGGCATAGCTGCTTGCGATTTGCACACACCGCAAAGTATCTTCCATCCTCCGAAAACGCCACAGATGTTATCATATGATAGGTCTCAATATCCACATTGTTGTGTACGTCTATCTTGTTGTTCGACTCCAGACCGGGTAAGATTATAATATTTTCGATATCGTTCTCAATATCGTATATTATCACACGCTCGTTGTTACATAAAGCGACGTGTGACTCATACACAGAAAAACTCATGATTGTAAAATTTATAAAAAATTTTGGTTCCCATAAAAAGAATTATGTTTTACGTCAATGAATAAACGTTGCTTAACCACGTTTGAAGCACGTGTACTGCATAACCTCTGCACCGTAGTGTCTAACGTAAATGGTACAACGTACTCTTGTATACGATCAGCAGTTTATTTATCGTAAATTCCAGCAATTTATTAAGTGTATATACCGATTGATAATCGGGTAAAATTTCTAATATGTGCACATTAGTACACTTTGATTATTCACTTCGTGATCTGAGCGTTTGGATTGCAAGATTTTACGAAATGCTGGCTACCAATCTGCCTTATCGGCGCAGCAAACCACGTTTGACCGCCACGAAGTAATCACGCGTAGCCGGTCAACACTTGCTAATGTCATTAGTCGGGAAGATAGCAAAAGTTACTTATCAATTTAACAATTATCAATGGAAAGTTGGACAGATTTTTGCAGCAGATCGCTAATCAACAAAATTGTCCATTATCTCACTGGCAGCGCACATGAGAATTTCTCAGTTATTAAAGTAAACAGCGAAAACTTAGCAATAAATGGAGAACTACATTTTATTAATAGCTTCAATACGTGGAAGAGTTTTGTTGTTTGCGACAGAAATTGTGCTACTATTTTGCAACACTTTATACACGCATATGATTCAAAAAGAGATCATACAGACGCAGACGTATCCGAGGAGGTAAACAAACATTTCAATCTAACCTAATCTAACCTAGCTTAACCTAAATTATATATGAATATCACACACATGATGACTACCATATGACTACCATATATCGTTTTAATTAAAAAATTAAATAATAGACTGCAGATTTATTGAATTTTATTTTAGGTTTTTAAACAGTTGATATCTAAAAGTAACGACTGGTCCGTACGGATACAACATTGTTCATTGCAGAAAGAAAAGGTCTGCCTGTATCTGAATCGTGCAGATGTTATTCCAAACGTCGTTAAAATAGCTATTAAGTGCAATAAAACATTTGGAAAAGTCATTGCAAATAATAAAGTATTCGATTTAAGATATCAGTCTGATGCGCAATCTAACCTCACTACTCAGAGGCTACTTCTAATGAGAAATATCACTGCTAAAGTACTGAATCTACATGGATACAGGTAACACTAAGCTAGATTTAAATCTCTATTCCTATAGTTTTCTTTTAAGTAATTTAATTATATAAACATTTGAGTTGTTTCATTCTTTATATGTCCAAAGTTATTTGATGAAATCATAAAATCTAGGGTATCAAATGAAGACTGTGTTGGTAAATATATATTTACAACAAGATCTGAGGGATTGATAGAGGAAGGATATAAAAAATATGTTTGTGGTGTTGTAAAGAATCTACAGTCAAATACAAAGGAAATACATCTCACATGGGAGCAATGCATAAAAGACAGAATGGATTATATAGATAATAATTTTCAAAGTATGTTTCATAATTTTGAAGAAAATGAGCATAACACAGAGAAATATGTCATTCTGCACAATATGGCTCATGCTATTATGATCTTTGAATTAATGTCTGTGAAGCCTAGTCGATCGATTGTTATAGAGAATGACAATTTTAAATCTGACAGACACATTACTAACACAAGAGGTACGTTTCATCAATAAATTATTGTATTTTTAATAATTTAATTTTTAAAAGTTACTTATTTGTTGCATTAAATTATAAATTATACTGTCTTCTATTTTTTTACTTGTAACCAATATGATAATAAAAATTCTTGTCTCTGTATTGATGATTAAACATTATGTGAATGTTGTAGGTGCATTGTTCGTGTTATACAATACTGCCAGGATAGCAAAGATTATAGCAGAATACAATCTGAAGGTATCATGTGGCGATTTTCCTCTTTTACCAAATATTGACGATGTGGATTTTTCACAGTTGCATCAAGAGGTTAAAGATTGTTCTAAACTATCAAAAATAGCAATATTATATATCCAAAACATGAAAAGTTGTATGTAAAATTTAAGCTTTTTAACAATGTCTAATTTGTTTTTAGGAGGAATGGGAACTCGTATATAATTTTATTTTTAGATATCCCCAAATGCTACAGGACTGCTTGAGATATGAGCCAAATTTTCAAATTCATCCGCAAATGATCTGTTTATTCTTGTCACAACTGTGCCAAAAATTTAGTTCATATTATCGGAAAATAAAAATTCTGACGGTAAGGGAGAATGATATATATATATATATATATATATATATATATATATATATATATAAACTTAGAATTTACTTATTGTTTTCTCTTCCTTTTTTATGCATTGTATAGTTACTATATTTAATAGTTATACGTTGTTTATTTTACCTTGTATTCTGAATTGCAGAAAGGAGGTGTCCATTTAGCCCCAAAAATGTTTGCAAGATTATACATGTTGTATGCGCTGCAAGTTGTTCTAGAGAACGCATTGGATATTTTGGACATTAAACCAGTATCTCAAATGTAAAGTGGTGTTGTGAGAAAACGTAGTTTTAATTATTCTAAAAATTTGTTATTTAATAAACGTTAATAAGAATTTTCATAAAAACGCGGTTGTCAGAATCCCTGACGCCATTCAGCAGTATAGAGAAAAAGTCTGCTCAAATGCCCAATGACGTATATACATAACCAAGTATTCCTATAATATTTCTGTTGTAACAGCGAGTGAAGCCGCAGTTTAAAACGGAAGTTGGCAGTTTAAAACAGAGAAAGTTAATTAAAGCGCTTTCTCTAGTGCTCGCTAGTGCTTTCTCATTCTATCGTATAGAAAGAATATGGCCGCTGTCAAGTGCTATATATTAATGCAATTGCTTTGATTATTTATATATAGCATAAAATATTATAAATATCAATTTTATATCGAGATAAGTGAAATATACGGCTTTATTTTTTTTAATTCTGCACTGCATTACATATAGCACCTGACAGCGGCCATATTCTTTCTATATGATAGAATGAGAAAGCATTAGGGGCAAATCAACTTTCTCTGTTTTAAACTGCCAACTTCTAGCTTCACTCGCTGCTACAGCAGAAATATAGGAATGCTTGGTCTATGTATTACGTTATTGGATCCCTTATTTAAGAAACCGTTTACATTGGGCATGTTCAGCGGAAAAAGCGCTCAGTGAGCAATCAGCGATTATTGGTTCTTACTATAAAGGTGCCAATACATGGAAGCGTTCTAGCGTCGAGCGTTAAAGCGTTAGCCAATCAACGTATCAAGTCCCAGAAGTATATTTCTAGTTTTTGCGGAAAGTGGCACGTTGATTGGCTACCGCTTTAACGCTCGGTGCTCCCATGTAAAGGCACCTTTAGAAATCTAGACCAATTACATTGGCGAATTGCTCAACTGTTGAGTTCGTTGAACGCACCCATTGGCTGCGTTCAACAGAGAAAGCTGCTCTGCAACTGTTATAAAATTCGTCAATCTGATTGGTACATGCTCTTGGATTCAACCAAAATTAAGAGCATACTTCAATCAGATACACGAATTTTATAACAGTTGCAAAGCAGCTTTCTCTGCTGAACGCAGCCATTAGTTCCAAGTTCTTCGCTACGAGCCGCTTAATTTGAAACGCTTGTTTAATTTGAAACGGGAGCGTAGTGCAACATAACAGGACGTCATCCTCCAAACAGAATTTCTTGACGCCAAATCCAACATCTTTGATATTTGCTGGCTATGAAAATCTTGCAAGGTAATCTCAATTATTCTCAATATTTTATATAATCTAACTTCTTAACTATAATGCGGGGATATTTTCGAACTATGCGTTGAAATAAATGGACTGATGCAATAGCTTCTTTGGGAAGTTGAGACAACAGGAGGTATCGGTTAAATAATACACAAATCTAACTTTATTCACATTTTTTTGCCGTTTCTTTCCGCTGAATCATCGAGAAAATGATCTTTAGAGAACAGAAACCTCTGCGATACGAATAGCAGTTACAAGTAAATATGTACAATAATATATAATAAGTGGTGGTTGCCCTTCTTTTATTTCTTTAACCGTCGTCTCGCCTTGCTCAGTGGCAGCAATCAACTAATCAGTATTAATCAGTAATAAATCGCAAGGATCGATAAATCCATTCCCATGTGTTGTTTTGATCCAAGCGTCTACACACCACTATCTATCGATAAGTCCTGGCCTAACCGCCGTCACGACAAGACGTGTTCGAACACGTTCGGACCGTGTGATTTTTTGGAACGTCTTGGAATTTTCCAAGACTTTACTCTCGATATAGATCATTAATCGGAAAAATGGCGTTGGGACATAATTCTTAGAGAGGCCTGGAGCCAGATATTGAAGTTAAAGTTGACTCTATCTATCGATCATCGAATATCGCGACAATGTCGACGAATTGACAGAAATACTTCCCCAATCCTTCACAAACGAATCACACCGGCCGAACTTTCGTCATTTCGGAATCATCGCTCGCAATTCGCACAACTGACTGCAATCGCATAGTAAGATGTCAGTAACGTTCATCTCAACATTCCCGTCGGCAATTTTACGCCGACGCCGAAATAGTGATCGCGAGAAGGCGAACATTTAGCAACATCCTTTGTATATTTATATCCTGAATTACTAACCATTGGCTTTTTCCAGACCGATATTTTTATCGAGAAGCCCGAGTGATTAAACCCGAGTGGTTAGTGATTTAGGATTAAAAAAAAGTTTTGTCTTATCTCCTTAACATTATAATTTTCTCCGCGTCTACTTGTAACCATCATGATGTTGCACGTTCGATAATTTTACTTTCTTTCGCTTGATTCAACTCGCTTGATTTGACTTGATTCAATCATCCTTTCGCTTCGCCTCGAAATTCTCACTACATCTCTTCTCACTCGCAAATTTCTCACCGCGTTTAAAATCGCCTGTTTCTACACATGCGCGTTTGTTTAAACCAGCGCTCATAATTGGTTAAACATTGGAAGCAATTTTTTCATATCACGCTTACTGATTTGAATTTCTCCCTAATGTGAATCCACACATATTTATGTATTATTAAGCACAAATGATAAGAGCAGAACAGTAGACGTGATATTCGAGAATCGCTTCGAAAGCGCAGTTTCGAGCGTTGCTTCAAACATTACATTATAATGTTATATTCATTTGTTTATTTTTATCTTTCTCTTTCTTACTTATTTTTTCTTCCTTTTTTTTCCTGACATCTCAATCTTCTTGACTGACATAGGGTGAAGTGCGTTGTATCGAATATTTGAGATTATTTTTTATTTTACGTTTGTTGAATCATCGAAATGAATCGATATGAAATGACTACATGAGCCCGTTGTATGTACAATTGAAGGGATTTTGTTTTACTTGCAAATGTCTACAACTCCTCAATATCTCAATTATCATATGACAAGTTTATTAGACGTAATAACTCTTTTCAGAATTATAGAAATTCTTTATCCGGTAGTCGTTAAGTACGCCTGACAAACTTATACGACAAATGAAATATTGATTCAAGTTCACTTCACCCTATCTCGAACAACCGACGGGGACATACTTTGATACTCGGAACTTAAAATCTCTGAGATGTACAAACACTCGATACAATTAGGGACCCTCTAGTTAGAGTCTGGACATCTTCGACATTTTACTAACTGTTCTACTTACGTAGTTCAATCTGAAATTCCATATTACACCGTAGACCAATCCGGAATACATTATATTCGATCTATAATCCATTAGTGTTTAGATTAATGCTGGAAGTTTTCAGACGATCAAACGATTCGAACAGTTCAATTACACGATTTGCTCAAATCTCTGCCCGAGACCTAATCCAAATTGTAACTACAGGGCCCCTAAATACAATATCACTTGGCGCTGTTAAATTGTAATTGACCCGAGCTAAGAAAAATAATCAACGAGTACACAATTAGTCCAAACCACGGTTACTCCATCATATCTATTCGTCTTTTTTACTTTTCTGTTTTTATTGTTTTCGCTTTTTCGTGTTGCTAGCTTACTTATTAAAATGATTTGACCTTTCAACGCGCGATTACTTATTTTCTTCGTGTTCGCGTCGCATTTATTAACAATAGTTACCCGACGACTTTTGTGCGTAACTGTGAGGTCCTTGGATCCTCGAGGTTTCTGAGACTACCCCAGTTTACATCCTCCAAATCCATAGCCTTGGATTATTAATTTCTTGTATTAGTCTCTGAATCCCTGAGTCCTGAAAATTTCCATTTTCCTATTCTAAATTCACGATTCTTGGATGCTTCGATCTTTGATCCTTTCGAGCTAATATCTAAATCTGCAAATCCTGAGATCTCTCTATCTTTCTACTCTAAATCCCTACTCTTAGATCTTTCCAGGCTAATCCTTAGATTCCTGAGTCCTTAGTCCACCTCATTTTCTTACTTTAAATCTATACTTTTAGATCCTCGCGATTCCTACTCAGATTAGCCTTGAATCCCTGTCGTAAGACTCCTCCATCTTTCAATTTTAACTATCTGTGTAGGATCTTTCCATTCTTGTTTCTTTGAACTAGACTTTTTTCTGGATTCCTGAGTCCTGAAACATTCCTATCTTCCTGGTATAGATTCTAATACAGATCTTGGTATAGCTCTCGGATCTTTGAGGATCCTTTGATTTTTGGATCTTTCTGGATTTTCTCTATACTTGGACCCTTGATTCTTTCAGTTACTATATCACGAAACCTTTGGATCCAAGTTTATCGAACTTTCAGACTGATAGATCCTAAAGTCTCTGGATTCTCTAATCCTCGGTGAAAGAATACTGGGTTCTTGATGAAATCGGAACTTTGCGAATGTAAGGTGAGGAAAGAGTTATGTTTGATTTCTCTTTTCTCTTCTTTTTTCACGAACGTGATAAGTCTCTTCTTACTTCTTTGTCTTTGTGAAATATCCTTTCTCGCAATATATCCTCGAATTCTTCGATCATCAATACCCGAGGACTTCTGGATTCTTGGAGCTGGAAGTTACAGCGCAAAAGTCGACGGGACTTCGCAACGACTTCCAGTATCGAGTCTCTCGCTTAACGAGGACACTCTTCATCATTATTATCACTTCTCTTTCCCTTCGTTTATCATCCTCTATTATTATCAAAATCGTTCTTGTATACTTCCAATTCCTTCTCCTATTTTTCCTGTTTTTATTCGTGTCTCTTATTTCGTGTCTCTTTATTCCTTATTTCTTGGTTTCCTTTTTATATTTAATCATTTTGTGTGTTTCGTTATCTCTTATAATCTTCCGTTCCTTGTTGTATTTTTATTCTCTGTCGTGTCGGTCGAGAATTATCCTCTCGCAATTTTGTTTTTAATATGTCACAATTCGCGGAGAGGATGAGAGACGGCGAAGGAGAGAAGAGGGTGAGAAAGAGTCTCGTATTCTCGTGCAGGATTCGCGTGGTTCAACAACGACCGAGAAAAGGACCGCACTTTTCATCTGAAGGAGTATCACCACGCGAAGTTCGCAATTCTCTCCCTCTCTTACCCTCTCTCTCTCTCCTCTTCCCTCCCTCTCAGAAAAAAATTTTGTCGCGCTTATTTCTTCAGCACACATCTCCCGTTTCCCATCTCCTCTCTTTCTCTCTTTCTTTCTTTCTTAAACAGTCATCATCTAAACAATGAAAGCGACAAAACGCCGAACGATAAAGAAAGAAAGCTCGATTATTTTCCGAATGGTTTTCGAGGTGTCCCTCTTATGTCTGCACAAGATTTTAAAAATTAAGATAACTACTATATATACTACTATATATAGTACAGCAATAAAAAGTTTTTGGATAGCCAGTTAAGAAATCGCGCAAAAATAAATAAAGGTCTGTGAACGCAAACAATAGATTTTTTATATCTATACTAATATACTCATAAGTATTTCCATCAATATACTTATAAGTATTATCCATCAATATTCTTTCGTACTTCTAAAAAATGTAGCGATGAGAGCCTTTAAATGAGGTTTTCATTTTTGCATTAAAGTAGATTTTAATACAACACAAAAGTGCATGTCGACGCATGTCGCATAAATTATCGTATTTGCAAATATAAGTCGAATTTTAACCTGTGCAGTGTAAAAAGAGGGACGATTTCCTCGAAAATAATGTTTCTCATCCAAATTAAATTTAATTCAAGACTGAGAATCAATCGTGAATTTTGACTGGAATTAAATTTATATATTTGTTGCAATTAAATGCAAATTTAATTCGACGTTGGTTTAATCTAAATTAAATTCAAACTCAAATTAAATCCAAGTTTGATTCAAGCTTGGGTCGATCAAAATTAAATTCAAATTCGGTTTCCGCACTTTTCTGAAATTCAAATCAGATTTAATTCGAAATCTTATTGGTCGATATTAATTTCGAATTTAATTCGCGTCGTTCATTAAAATTAGATTAAAATTGAATTAGAAATTGAGTCAATCGAGATTGAATTTAATGTGCACATCTTTATTAATTTCAAATTAAATTCGAATTTGTATTAGTTGAGATTATAAATTCGAACTTAATCGACGAAATTTCATCGAAATCTGCTTCGAATTAATTGAAATTATATTAAAATTCAACTCGCATCCAGCGCCCTAAAAATCGCGTCATCTAAGTTATCTACGACCTTTAAATCCTTATTACGAGTACTGTAGTAGTAGTGTAGTAGTAGTAGTAGTTGTAGTAGTAGCAGCGATAGTAGTAATAGTTATAGTATAATAGTAGTAGTAATAGCAGTAGTGTATTAATAGTAAGTTTTCCTATTTCTTATTCCTTTTTTTTGCTTAAGCATTTTTTTATCTTTTAACTTTTTTTTCTGACTCCTGGTAATCTAATAGACATCTAAAAATAACACCCATTTTTTTGTTTTCATTACTATTTGTATTTATTCTCGGCCTCTCCCTCCTCTGCTTTCCTTCACTTCCAGCAAACGTCACTTAAAGGGCTCTGTATAAGCTTTATTTTGCGCGAGGACTTCCTCGACGTTAACTTTTTCTTTTTTTATATATGTAAAAAAATCGTAAACGAGTGAAAAAATTGGGAGCTGTAAATATTACTGTTGCAAGGATGTTTTATTGGTTTCTTTTCTTTTTGATTGACTGGTTGGTTTTTCAAAACTTCAACTAATGATAAATCTCGGATTCTTGCGTCTTTATTGATAATTTCAGTTTCCTAACATTTAAATAAATATTTAGATCTTTTTATGTTCTAATATTTATTGATCTGAATTTTTTTTAGCATTGCTTTATTACGCGAACTCTTAGATTTTTTTTATATTTGTAACTATTCTCTCTTGATATTAGAAAAGAGACCAGTGCACGAATTGTGTTGCGAAAATTAGGTACCGCGTAAATCGCAGTTTGCCAAAAGTCTCTTGTTAATTTTTTTTTCTTTCTTTAAAACTTTAAGAGACGACGATAAATCTTGATTTCTTATGTTTTTATTTTATTGGTCACTCTCTGATTATTTAGATGCCTCGATATTAAATGAGCATTTAAAGAAACATTACATAATTATAATTTTAATCAATATAACCGGATTTTAATCTAGTGACTAGATTTTTAACGCGTTTTTCGATTTTTATCGTACGTTTTGTCAGCTTTAATACGAAGTTTCGACATAGAACTTCGATATTGTATCATTTTTTTGCTGCGTCGTGATGCTCCGATTCATCTTCTCTGTTTTTTACTGCTTTTCTCGTCCCGTCCTCCTTCTTCCGTCCACTTGTTTCTCCCACTGTCACTCTTTTTCCTTCATTTTAAACAAATTTTTCTTCTTTTTCTGCGTTTTGTTCTTTCGTCTCTTTTATGAATTTCCTACTTTACTGCTCTTTTTTCTTTCTCCTTTCTTTTCCCTTCATTCCAATTTTTCCTTTTCTCTCGGTTCTTATCTTTGATATAATTTTCCGCCTCTTTTTGCCCCTCCCTTTTCTATTATTTTACTTTCCCTCTTCTTTCTTTTCCTCCCCTTTTCTCCTTCACCACCAGTTAACTATTTAATACATCAAATATGTAGCAATTTATTTAGTGAAAAAAAGAACTTATAACAAATTAAATATTCGATTCAAAGTCAGTATCTAGTATCGATGAGTGATACTAGATATTTGTAAGTGATTACGATGCGAATGTTTCCGATTACTTCCCGCAGAGACTAGACGAATTACGAATATTTCAAGTAATAAAAATTACATTGAAACTGCTGAATATGTAATTTCAAGGATAATTTTGAAAATACGATAAATATTCAGCCTAATCTAATCTTTTGCACCACTCTGATATACGTTCTAAAGATTTCACGATCTTGGAGATCATCAAGGTGTTTTCATACTTGGATCAGTAGAGCTACCCAATAAAACTAAATCAATATCAACTTTTCCGTAAATCATGTTAGAATTTGTCTTATCAGCAACTTCAATCGTCGTCATAATTGTTACAGCTTGGAAAGTACAGACATTATTACTTTTCAATCTTTTAATTTAATATATTTTTATCGAATTTTAATGAAACGAAAAATAAAGACGCGTCCATAATTAAACGACAAAATTATTCCCGTTTATAACAATATTTGCATGTATATGTACATACACGTGATATACTCGTAATATTTTACATCTCTGATAAATCGTTTTTCTCACTGAACCCGTATTGTGCATTCCACGAAAACAAATTTTAAATAATATTTCACGAGGTTAATTAACTAATTAGGTTTCTTCGTTAAATCTCCACGCAGAGGTCTCGTTTACTTTTGCTCTTATTATAATCCTTTTCTCTTTTTTTTTTGGTTTTTTGGTAATAGTTTTTTTTCTTGTTGATACCCTCATTCTTGCGCCTTCCTGTCGTTTTTCTCTTTATCGCCTAGTATACGAAGACCAACGACATCACTTCTGTCTCGAGTTTCTTTAGTGTTTTGTTTGGATAATTGGTGACAAGACAAACGACAGCCAACGTTATCTATTTCTTTTCGTTTACTAGTTTTAAACCATCTCAATTGCGATTATATTAACGCAATTATAATAATTATTAAATTTTCTATATTTCGTGCATCCTTCTTTTAAATCTGTATATATATGTATATGTTAAAACAATAAATATTCAATGTTAAATCTTCAATTACAAATTCTAATTAAAAATTTTTGTTTTAATTTAAGAAACGTTTAAATTGTGAAAAATGGAAAATTTTATACAATTATAATTTGTCCAAATTCCCTCTCTCTCTCTCTCTCTCTCTCTCTCTCTCTCTCTCTCTCTCTCTAGTTTAGAATGAATTATGAAACCAAGTTATATTTCAAGAATTATCTCTGGGAAAAATCACGAAATAAGTAATACTTCTACAAATTTCTCTGCACATCCAATTTCCGCACTTGAAAGTTAACAAGATTGTTCTTTTAACACAAAAAGAGGAAGAAAAAAAATCAAAATTCCGATTCTTCATCGAAAGACAGGCGCGGGATCGCATATCACATTAGTCGCCGCCAAACCCCGCCATTTCTAATAATTGTTGTGTTCGCCGCGATAATAGATTCGTGCAACAACCAATATGATTGCGATTTAGCGCTATATATATAGACGATTGTTGATACAACAATCGATATATTTAGTATTAAAACTTGCGCGGCGTGCCTTGCTGAAATTATTTCGCTCGGCTTGGTCACTTTTTTGGCGGGATTTGACTCTACCCTTTGATCTCGAGATCTTTTAGCCAGTCCTCCCCCTTTTTACTTGGTTATCCCTTGACACACCTGTCTCTCTTCCGTTGGCTGTTACTTCGTTCTTTCATCGAAGTGTGTATGCGTGTGCATCCAATATTCGGGGAGGGAATATTTTTTTCGACATGTGTTCGCTCGTTCATTCAGTCACGCCAATTCTGACCCATAATGTAACATCCGTCTTCAGAGATCACCAATTGCATTTAATAGTCAGTCTATCTATTAACGTCTCTTATCCGAATCTGACCTTACGAAAGAAACATCTCGTTTTTTCTTTTCTGCTTTTATCCGTCAGGTCGTGAACTCTTTCAATTTCCGTTCTGGACCACATTCTTTTCATCAATCGTACTTTTTTCAAAATAAAAATCGAGACCAGTATGTATGATTGAGTTCAATTTCGGATAATAAGAGAAAATCATGTTGATATTTACTTTAAAATCGTAAAACTAAACGCAAACTCTCCCGTGTATCGAATAAAAACCGATAGAAATGTTACACACGATCGCAATACCACATTGATTTTTATCTAAAAATTAAAATATATTTGCGCAACTATAATAATACCGGTCTTGATCTTTTCATTCTGCTGGATGCTTTACTCATTCTAGGTCACCCGCGAACAAGAGAATAGTTTAGAGAATAGTCGAAGATAGTTCCCGTAAAAAAACGCGCCACATAAAAAGAGATATAACAAAACATTCCGAGGACTTACGAGGGATTTTCGAAATTTGTACTTTTCGAATGTATATTATCAGGGTGTCCCTTACTTTCGTCTTGTTCAATTTTTTTCGAGTCTTAATTGTTTTCTTCAATTATATATTATTAATTGAATTAAAAATTTCTCCAATATTAATCATTTAATAACTACTTCGGTATTAAATTCGATACTTTTATAATTATTGTTTCTTTTTTAATACAAGTCGCATTAAACAAGTAGTTAAAGTCCTAAATTGCAAAAGGGTTTTCCCCTCTTTAAATTATTATACTTTTAATTAACAGCACACACACAAGATGAGCTGAATTACCACAGCGCGAACGTTATCATATATTTTTATCTTCTTATTCTTTCTGTTTTTTTACTATACAGGTTCGAATTATTTGTTATTCACAAGTTTTTCGACGATCAAAAGTCACTGACGGTTTCTTATGTTTATTAATTTTTGTTTATTATATTTTTTTGTACATTTAGAAATAAGGGTTTTTTGTACGTTTAGAAATAAGGGACACCCTATATACGTATGTACGCGTGCGCGTGTGTCTACATATATGACGTCTATATATATTTATTTATATATATATACACGTCACACTTATATGGTAATATAATTATCAGTTTAATTTTTTGCCTTTTATACTTTGTTTTTTACTTGTTTACTTAATTACAGAATAATAACTTAATATATATGTACGTGTACATATTTTTTCTTAAACGCATGTGCATGTGTGTGTGTGTGTCCGCGTCCGTTTATTTGTCTATTTATGAGTCGACGTATAGTCTGTTAATTAATCGAAGTTAATTATTTATCGAGAAGTTAGTTATTCTCCTTTCATTGTTCTCTCGATACAAGAAAGTCTTTTTCTCTTTCTTCCCATCACTTCCTTCATCATTCTATCTTCTTTCACCTCCTCTATTTAGCATCATTCATATAATATACATGTCGATTTTCCGCAGATTTATATATTTTTTCTCTCGTACCAAAGATAACGACGGCGCGTGATTGATTTGTTTAATGAATTTATTTTAGTTGGAACTTGTTTATTTAAACAAACGTTCAAAACTCGCGCTTTAATTTCGGAAGTCACTTTATACTTTACCGAAATAATGTTTGTAATCTTCTTAAGTAATTTTTTCTTTCGTTCCAAAGATAATTTTATACTATAAAAATAATTTCGTATTTTTTTTTTATAACTACCTCAACATATTACAGTTAATTTCATATAATGCGTATAATTTCTGAATTTCAAATAGAATAAACAATTTTGCTGATAAATTTGCAGAATAATTTTATTATAATTCGTCCGATATATATATATGTATATATAACAAATAATTTTTAATAAATAATTTTGTCGTTCTAAACCCTGTGAATTATATTCAATAATTCCGAATCTTTCGACTAATCTCGTAATATATTTCCAAAGATATAATTCAACTTCTGATAAAACTGGAAATTTTTACATATATTTTTCAGAATTCCCACTTTACAAACTGAGTTTCAACTAATCAGTTTCAAGTAATTTCGTCAATCCCTGAATGTAATCAAATTTTTATTTATTTTCAAAAACATTAGTAGGAGCTATCAAAGCTTCACTAGCACTGACATCATTACTACTACTACTACTACTACTACTAGAAACATTAGACTACATATTTATCGCGGAATTAGTTGAAAGATATATATAGTTTAGAACGACGAAATTTCATGAGTCTGATTAAACAATTAAATTTCTAAAAATAAATTTTTAGCGTTATTAAATAGTGCAAAACACTAAACCGAAAGCGTGCACGTTTAAATTGTCGAGTCTTAAAATGTTTCTATGTCTCGCGTCTCTATATCATGTCTTATTTTACTTGATTTTTTGCGAAAATTGTAGACCAAACTTGTAAAGAAACGAAAAATCTCTCCGCAATTTCTGTTACTTCTTGTAATCTTCATTTTCCAATTAGTTTCTCTCTTTCTCTCTCTCTCTCTCTCTCTCAAAGTTCCACACATCGCTCTTTCTTTCTCACATACATACTCTCTATTTCGCTTACCCCTTTTCTCCCTCCCCTTTCACACGATAAATCTGCTCGCTCTGAAAAATATGTACAATGCTGCTGCGACTCGTCAGCGCTCAATAATTTACACAATCGCTTTCACTATTCTTCATATCCTCCAAATCACTCTTGTTACCTCGTCTTTTCTTCCGCTCCCTTTTAGCCCCTCTCAGACTCTCCCTTTCTTTTCTTCCGCTGTTTCTTATATTTTCACACTTTCTCCTGAAATCTATCCTCCGCAAAGTAGCTGGATTTCTTCTCTATTCTGGATATATCCTTTTCCTTTTATTTCTTATTTTTCTTCCTCTTACTTTCTTTTTCAGCCTCTTTTGGCCCTCTCACTTTCTTTTGGTTTTAATCAATTCTCATTTTTTTTTAATTTCTTCAATCTTCTATATTTTTTCGTAACTTTCTTTATCTGTATTTTTCTGTTATTTCCTTTCCAAAAATTTTCCTTATCCTTTCCTTTCCGTTTTCTCTAGAAGTTCCTCTTCATTTTTATTTTTCTTTTGATTGTATGCCGCATTCCTTTGTTGTTCCGCTCGGAAAATTTGCTCGAATCCTTAAATTCGTTCCTACAATTTCCGAAAAGTCGCTGGCTTTCTTCGGTGCAAGTTCTTCCTCTGCTTTCATATTTTTTCTTCTTCCTTTCAAATTTCCCTTGTTCACTCTACTTTGTCTCCCTCTTGTCCTTCATACTCTCCCTCTTCTTTTTAGGTCCATCTTCTTGCATCTTCCCTTTTTACTTTCAGCTGCTTTTGTAATTATTCTCTTTTTTTTTTTAAATATCCATCACGTAGTCGTGAGCCACATTTTACCGAATTTCATTTAGAAAATGTACTCGAATTCTCGGATTTGTGCTCGTAATTTCCAAAAGTCATTGACTTTTATCAATATCCGTTCTCTTGAGTATCATGATATCGCCCTATTCTCTTTTTTTTCTTTATCTTCTTTTATTATCCCAATATTCTAGTTTAGTCACCAGAGAAATTTTTGAAAATTACTGATAATGTTTTATTTCATCAAATTCTCTGGATTCTCTACTATTTACTCTGATTCCTTATCGAACGGTTTTGCAAAATCACGAACACAAGCTAGCGAGTCCTCAAGAACGTCTTCTTCAACGTTGCAAGCAATTTTAGGACAAAGTTGAATGAATCTCTGTGTGTGTATGCGTGCGTACGCGCGCTTGAGAGTGTGTTGTATGTATGTGGGTGTGTATATATATATGTGTATATGTGTGTGTATGAATCGATATCTTGCGTGCCGTCGATCTTCGTACACGATGGATCTTCTTCCTTTTGTTTACTCTCTTTTCCTCAATTTCTTCCGTCACCACCGCGCCGCCTCTATGTCTGCAAACAACATGGAGGAAGCAACATGAGCACTTATTTGTCTAACATCTACCATCCCTCTTTTGCTTTTGTAATGTCTCCTTTTTTTATTTTTTACTCTTTTTTTTATTTACGTCTTACCCTTATAATTACACTCCACATTTAGAATGCAATGTTTGATTTATCATCTTTTATCTAGAACAGCTATTATCGAGAAAAATGAGTGACATATGGTGAAGAGTTTTTCAATATAGAAATAACATTATTATTCTTCTCAATATATTCTACATTATTTGTAAAATAGTATATCTATAACTTGAAGATGATTAAATGCATACCTAAAGATTGTCCATCATCTCGGAAAGGGTCAACCTGGAAGTGGACATCGCGACACCGCTGTCGCTACTACTCTGTACGCTACTGTGATCGTCGGTGTCTGATTGGTTGCTCGTGTAACCAATCACATCCACTTCATCTACAAAAAAATACAAGCTTTTGTTTTATTTTTCGCATATTGAGAGCGCCGACATAAAAACTCGAAGAAAAATAATGTCTTGCTTATTGACAACCCCTGAGTAAATGCAATTAAACACAAAATATTTCCATACAACTGGTTTAAGAGAAAATAATAAAAAAAAAAAAAAACAATTCTAATAAAAAATAGAAACGACAAAAACGGTACTATTGTCACTGCTATGACGTCATCCTGTCAGACACCGGAAGAATGATGTAGGAGTAAGAAATTGGGATTAGCAAGCGAAAAACACACGCGACGACAAAAAATTGCGCAAAATCTAATCCCAGGTCCGAGCAATTCAGATGTGATTACATGCGGAGTAACATATTTACAGAGATAACAGATAGGATGGCGTCTATTTCGTAGAAAAAAAAAGAAAAAATAATACGAAAAAAATGCGAACGAATATCTGTCGAAATAAAAAAAAATTCAACAGGAAGAATGGCATCGTCTCTAAAAGAGAGCGAGAGAGAGAAAGAGAGCGAGAAAGAGAGAGAGGGGGAGGAGGAAATCTATGTAACAAAACAAAGAAAGAAAAACAAATATAGAGACCATGTACACAGTAGCCACAATGCCCGCTGGTAACCACAGCACCGAAGAAGACGAAGGGGGTGTCGACCACACTTGCGAGCCACCCTTCCTCTTCCTCCGCGCCTCTCTGGGCTGAGGGTATTTTTCCATAATCAATAACATGCCTCTATTCTCGTCACACTGAGCGAACCGGATCTGCCCTCGTCACCACCACCTTTCCCTTCCTCCCGCCATCCTCCTTCCACCCTGCGTCACCGACATCGCTAACCTGTCCAGGTAACAGTGGCGTTCAAAACGGGGAAGGAGGGCAGAGGAAAAGTCTCAAAGTTTCTTCAGAAAAAATTCTATAATTTTGATTTAATCTTCATCATCGCGTGAATATGGAGGTCAAAAACATGGTTCAACGTTTCCCCTTTTATGAAAAGGATGTTTAGGGTAGAATAAGCTGCACGTTTGTTTCCCTCCCTCTCTATTAACCATTTCTCGTTATCACATGACAACGAATAACATAGTACGAGCTTGTTGCATGCTGCATATTTATCAGAAACATACGAAAGAAAAAAGATGGTGTGATGGCGACGCGAGTGACGATAGATAACAATAATATTTATCCCGATCGTGATAATTAACTTTTCGGACTTAAGTCTTTTAAAGGGATACGCGTGACAATTCAACCAAACCAAACCTAACCTTACTTGGGATTATGTTAGATTGGCCAAGTTCCAGACAAATTTTGACGAATAAACCAAAAACAATCAACGACCTTGCTACGAACGCTAAAGCGTTAAATTGCTAAATCGTCAACTTCCGATTTAGCTGGACGGACGGACAGATTGTTCGACCAATTTGCGCAAGCCATCGGTTCCGATTGAGTTTCAATTATGTGTTCCAACATAAAAGTAGTTACAATAAGTCCGTAATGCACGAAATATAGTCACTCAGGTCGGTCAGTCAGTACTTATCCGGTCACGTGACGTACGTGAGAAATATCGCGTGCAGCTAGCCTCGTCGGCGCGAAGCTTACTGAGAAAAACTTTCGAAAGACTTTTACCCGCCGAAGAACCCTGTGGGGTCAATATTTTCCCGCTCGCCAGTCTCCGCGACTTACCGATAACACTTGCGAGTCCGTACAAACGTGCGAATATTGACAAACAGTTTTATCACCCTTTCTCACTCTCATACCTCTTACCGCTTGAAAACTTGGAGACACACGCATGACAATAGAAACGGAAGATGATAACGGAATATGGAAACCGAGGATCGTAGAGATCAATTCAACAGCTAATGACATCTCGAGACACTCACCGGATTCCGAGACGGAAGGACTGCCCGCGGATCTGTCCGAGTTTCTGGAGCTGCCGGTAGAACTGACGGACGCCGTGCCTAGGGAGCATTCGGAGATGCTGCGCCGCTTGGACAGTAACGCCGCGGAGGCGGCGGCGGTGGAGCCGGTCGGCGCGCTCGGGTTTAACCCGTGGAGGCCGTGGAGCACGTGAAGGCCGTGGAGGCCGGTCTGGCTCGTCAGCTGCTCGAGCCGTCGCCTTAGGAACCTGTGTTCGCGCGACAGCTGCTCCTTGTGTATAGCGTGCTTGCGCTCACGGTCCTCCAGGTTCTTCAAACCAACCAAGTTCACTCGTGAGTAAGAGTTGTAGGATTAACTCTTACATAGCGTGTTTGGCAGTATTTTCCCGGGCACACTATATCATTTGTTTCTGGTCAATCTCTTAATTTTTGCGCATATATATATAAAAAAAAAAAAAGAAAGAAATTACGTCGCCAAGTCATCGCCAAGGCACACCTTGAGAGTAATCATCAGAGCAGCAATAACCTACTTTTATGTTACATTGACATCTTTTCGTGCTTTCAATTTTTTTATAAATTGATTCGGTTAGTTCGTTTACCTTGATAAAACGCTTAGCCTTAGTTAAAAGGCCCAACGTGGTGTGCCTCGAGGTTTCAGGCCCAAGCGGCACCAGCAGCTTCAGCTTTTCAAGACAAGTCCTAAGATGGGCTCTCCTGTAACAGTACAAGAGAACACTGTCGTTACTGTGTAGTTTCTTCGGTCAACTTTGTTGGATTTATGATTCCTTAAGATCTGGAAAAAATTTTATTTTTCAGAAGTAACCACATAAATAATAATTCCTGAAACAACTTTTTCGTTTTGCGTATTTTAAACGCACTTAACTTCATTTCACTTAACCCTAACCGCCCATCATGTGTACTACGCTTTTTTTTCTAGAGTAATACTGTTAGTTACTCGTTAGAGCACGTCCGACCGTTAGGTGGGCTCCGATAATTGCGTGTAACGTGTCTATAGATCGTTCCAGGCCGAATGTAACATTCGTCGTAGTCTAAAAAGCACAACGATGAGTAGTTTTCCACCCTTTCACCCCTTCCTCTTTTTCTCCTTGCTTAATTTTAAAAAAGTTCTCATTGCGAATATACACAATAATCCACGTAAAATGTTTTCAATAAATTTCTTCAAAACTATAAAAAATATCAGTACTATTTTTTTTGTTTCCACAAAAGCATAGTTCTCTTAGTAAAGGATATTTCTCGTTGTGTTTTCCCTTGACTATGTTAACAATGGGGATGCAATTTTTTTCAAATAAACTTTTTAAAAGTGCTATCTAAATCTGCAAAAATTTATATGCCATTCTATTCGTCCGGCACACAACGAGAGAACCGCTTCGGTTCACTTTCACCTGCGCGCACTCGGGTTCGATGCACTCTGCGACGACGCAATTGCAACGGCACGGTGTACACATCATAGAGTGCGCTCAGTAGCGTAGAACTTAAATAAAGAAATAGTATCTTACCTTTATGGAGTCAGCATTGCCCTTTTTAAATCGTGTATTAATCGCACAACTTCAGTATGAAAGTAACAAATCTTTAAAGAAATAATAAGTCAAATAGAAGTCAAGGAAATTGGCCGTTACAGTATTGGCTAATGCAACCATTACAGGCAATAATCTCTGATTATGATTAGTGAAGTTTGATAGGAAAGTTTCTGAAGGATTGTTACACAAGGACACGTCAATATGTTTCTCTCCAATTTCCTAGGAATTTCTTACGGAAGGTAAGACATACTTTTTCTCTAAGGTTTAGCTCTCCCAAAGCGAATCTGCGGACAAAGCGTGATCCCAGCGTTCTTGCTGGCTTCGCAAGACCCGCTTGATCGTTAAGGAAGAGAGCGAAAGATGTGGAAGACGGGGTGAGGAAGAGGAGAGAAGAAGGAATCCCCAAAGAGCACCTCGACTAAATCCCGCGATTCTTGGCCCATAGAATTAGGTGGAGGTCCTTCAGCGTGGTGAAAATGGGGTTTCCTGGACCTGAAGGTTCAATCCCTTTCAGCGACTAGGATATCTCCGAGGACTTCCCATGTCATCTCCCTTGCGGTAAGAAGGTAGAGTAGGTGGAGGAGTAGGATGATATGGCGGGAAGGAGGTCTTATCCAATAGCTGATCCCAAATGTCCCTAACGAGCACAATAGGTCAGGTATTGCGCAAGCTTTCGCTGACTCGACTCGTATCATCCGCTCTCCGAGCGATTCAAATCGCCCGCCTGCAGAATCACGTGATTAGATCATGGCCTCGGATAAAACACCGTTTCACTTTGGACCGGCCATTGATTGGGGATTTCATCTTTATTCCACGTTTAATGTTGGATACTCGAGAGATGTATTTGCAAATAATGATATTCTACACACATACACACACACGCGCATACACGCACACGCACACACACAGGTAAATGTACGTTTTGTACATTCTAATATACTTGGAGGTACATGTATTTTATAAGAAATATTATAATTTCTGCTGCAAGAAATTCTCTTCTAAAAACCAGTATATTCCGAGATATTAATCTGTCACGCTTGAAAGGCGTCATTTTGTATATAGGTATACAACGCGTGAATGTTCTCGTTCGATTTCCCTTCATCGCGCCCTCACTTCCGGATGGAAATGGAAGCGAGGTCGATCGAATTAGCTTCCGGCGTAGTATCAGTCTCAGGAACAAGTCTGAAATCAGCTCGAATATGACCTCCACCTTGAAATCACAGTCAGACACGACGACTCGCTTATCAAATTCACGCCTGATCGATAAGCGTTGGTGTATTGTGATAATTGCGCTAAGGTATTTCACTGAGTAGTGGAAACGGTATCTTGTTTGTCATTTTCTGTTTATCGAAAATCCGATCGAGATAAGGAAACCTCGTTTACATGCTATAAATTATCTTGCGAAAAATTTAACGATTGTGGAAGATAAAAATGACCCTTTATATGTAGATTGCTTCCTTAATTCTTGATATTTATCTTGTGTTTATATGTAGATTGCTTCCTTAATTCTTGTTATTTATCTTGTGTTAATATTATGTTAATCGATGTTTGGTTTCTCCATTCTCGTTAAAAAAATTGGTCTGGACACATACTTTGCATATAATCGTGCTCGTAGGTACTCATTGAAAGTATCTGAGAAAATAGCGGGAAGAGGATTTGATGGAGTCTCTCTAATTGAAAGTTGTTAACGCATAATTAACGCAATGTTGTCATCCACCAATTTCGCTAGTGGCCTCTTCCCTATGCTCCCCTCTTCCTTCATTTCTCTTCGTCCTCTCCCTTTGTTCGACCACGAAACGATTTTCAATCACCGACCAAACAATTCATATAGCTCCGGTTTCCCGAAAATTACGGAAAACCAGTCGGTGTGTAAATACTCTTGTCTCAATCTTCATTGCATCGTCGTCTCTCCTCTTCTTCTCTCTCTTCACCGCTACTTCCGTCGTCCGAATCGAGTCCAACAGCTACGCACTTTATCGCGTTGCGTTACCGAACAATAATCGTCTCACTCTTGCAAGTCTCGATCACGTTTGTGCAACGCTTGTCATCCAAAAAACAAGATTGTATTTACATATGGAGTGAGGCAGGAACACGCGCACCCTTGATGCACACGATAATCTCACATGACGCGGCAGCTCTCCGGTTTCATCATGGCGGAAAGCGATCTCCTTAATCTTCGCGCATCGAGGATAGGCGTCGAATCTGTGTGGTCAGAGTGGAAAGGAAAATCGGTAATTAAAATCGTGTGCACACACTTCCAGTTTACGGTTCGCGGATCGGTTTCCAGCCGGTCTTGAGATGCGATACTATATATGCAAGTTACGTATCGCGATATAGAAACCGCTAAGCGAATATCTTCAGTGAAGGTGCCAGCTGAGCTTCGAAATATAATTCAAAAACGAAAGATCACGAAAACGGCTTGATTGATGTAATTGTTTACTGGGTTGCTGGTGTAACTAAGGTATAGGAAAATCAGTGAGGGTGGAAGTTCTCGCGTGTTTTCTACGCACAAACGGCGTGGGCATTAGGGTCCCTACAAGCCCTTCGCTTGTCTCTACGTCTCTCCGCAGCTCACCATCGCCACTTTGAAGCTCGTTCACCTTGAGTTCTCTTTTAGACAGTGCCTCTCATTCTCGTCTTTTCACTCATCCTCGCTATACAATTCGTATAGCATGCACTGCAACTTCAATTGCATACAACTGTCACTGTTTTTCGAACTTAAATTCTTTGGAATTGAGAAGTTGAGTTCTTTATTGACCGAGACTCGGACGAAGTTCGGTAATATCGCTCGGTGTGATACGTTGTGTTTACTAGCAAGTAAACTAGTAATAAGAAGATAAGCATTAGGTGCTGAATGCACAAATACTTCAACCTGTGCACGAAATGCATTTTAAAGAAATATTTTCATGAAAATCGCATCCTCCATAGATAATACATCTGAATGATTGAGAACCAAGTCGTGTTTTATTGCCATTCTTTTATTTTTCGTGAAATTAAACTTCAACAAGCTTCATGTATGCTCAATACGTTGGCAAGAGTCATAATTCGCTTTAACGCAACACGTAACACTCGATTATCATATGAGCGTTTTCTTGTTTTTCAATGCTGAATCTACTCCGAGTTATGGATATTATAACGCGATGTCGGAAGCTTTGAACATCCGTCAGTCTCCCCAAACGTTAAAGGATCGAAAGAGGTGCGCGCAGGGTATACACAGTCGAGTCGTCCTTGACCCCAAAGCCGGCCTGCATCCCGCCCCGTGTATCCCTCGCGGAGGATATACTCTGTTGTATGCGTCTGCGCGTACATCCATTCCGATCGTTCACAGATCAATTTACCTATAGGAGACTACTTTGGTACCTCGTTTTTCATCAATTTTAATAGCATAATGTATGTATAGGGTATAATATTTCTTGTATAGAAGATAGTTTCAGAGATGTTAGCTACTAAAATATTAATTAATTGGCGACACAAAAATAATCTTAACCGCGCCTAATGTCTCCATAACTTTCAATCTGCAACGACCGCAAAGGATAAGCTACAGACAACGTCGGATAAGATCCGAGTCAAAATTATGGAAAGCCGACTGAGAGAGAGGACTGACGGAGAGCCAAACCGGAAGTTGGCTATCTCGCGGCGGAGGTGGCACAAAGGATGGCGCTTAAAAATTCAATGCATTTCAAATGGGCCAGGAATCCACTCTAGGCGTCGCTCGCAGCGTCATTCTCGCACTGCTGTGGCTATTTGTCAAGCTTTCGTTTTTCGTCCAGACGGCCCGGTCTCTTCTCTCTCGCTTGGGAAAAATCTGATATTTTGCATAATGGTCCAAGTCCGAATAACGCGCTGATGAGCGATTGTTTATCGTTTCTGTTCGCCAATCGGTCTGATAACGCCGACAGATAAGAAGATCTCATTCTTCTTGTAATCTCCAGTGGATTTCGCTTCAAAGAACTTTAGGTTCATCTATTAAAGCATATGTTCCAATTAATGTCGATGTATTAAGAAGCTACCAAAGAAACGTATCGAGCTTCTATTCGGGGAAAATCAGTTTGAGCAATCGCGAAGATGTAGTTCTTTTGGTCAATAAAAGTTTTTGCATAAAAATAGGATGATCAATTACGACGTTGTAACGTTACTTTGGGATATCATTCGTTGCACTGGGCTTGCATAAAAGAAAGAAGTTGCGAAAAAAGAAGCATCAAATAATTGTAACACAATCTTAACCTCAATCTGTGTTGTCATGAAATTAATGGATCTAATACAAGTCGGCCGCGCAAAGGATTCGTCGCGGATTTATTTCCACAGCACGACGTGCTAAATTTAGGACAGAGTGTCATTGGCCTCCACGCTTTTCGTCGCACGTGCTGCATACTTATGCATACTTGCATCGGCACACTTTCACACTCGCCGCCATTGGCATAGACATTGGCGTAAAGTATATGATTCAATAAAGTTTCTTTTAATTTCTTTTCTTTTTATATTGGAATAATAAAGATTACTGATTTGAACTCAGAGGCCATTTGGTACGTAACCGTGACATGACCTAACATATTACCCTCTCAACTATCGAACTATCAAACAAAAGCAAAACTTTTACAAAACGAATTGAATTCAGTTGACAATGCTTGTTTTAATGAAAATAAATGCAACATATGTGTTTAAGAAAAGAGGAAGGTGAGAACTTGTGCTAGCTAGCAGTGCATAATAAAAAAAAAGAAGAGAACGGGGATTGTTTTAGAGAAAAAGGGAAAGCGAAAGACGGTCGCAGGCGGGCTATCGATTTTTTTACACCCAAGCAGCCTGAGTGCGAATGGAGGGGGTGGGGGGATAAGTTAGGGGAAGTGTATGCAGGGGAATAGAAAAGTTGGGAGGGGGAGGAAATTTTACACAAGGGGTGGCGTGACACGTAACGGCCAATGTAAAAGCGCGTTCTCGGTTACACTTCGTATTTCGTTACATAATATAGTAACGTACATTAATATTATCAATCCTGCAACAGCCTTTTTTATCTTCAAATGATAATATTAGAAATGTCATACTCCGTCTTGTCATTATCTTCTTCCTTTTATCTCTGTCCGTAAATAAATACTTTGTTTTCTTTAGACCATCCTTTTCATCCTTCATCTCCAAGAAAATTTAAATTTAATGGATCATGATATCTATTCAGCCATATTTGTATGTATCAACATGAAAGAGGGCCCAATTCAGGAATTGAAACGCTTATTAATTGTATCATAAGCGCACTTCACGCTTCATTTGACTTCTCCACTTATTTCTCTCACACAATAATTATCCCTTTACTACATTTTATCTCAATGGTCATACGATATGACGAAAGAGAAACAAAGAAGAAGAAATTATCACTTATGCCTCATACCATTATCTACAAAACACACTTACCTATTTTTCTCCAGTTCATTATGAGTTGTTCTGAAAGTAAAAAAAAATGCTCGTTAAAATCTTCGAGCAGCAGCAAACGCTCGATACGAATACAAGTCGAACGACAGTAACAACGGCTGCCAAATTATAGACAGTATTCTAACTCAGGCATTCGCTAGTTCAAAAACAGTGAGTAGCAGTGCCGTAGACACTGATCTATTGTCAGAAGCCAAATGGAATACCAACTGTGTGATATTGTCGTGACAATGTTTTATAGCATAGTCCAGCTGTGCACGAACGACAGCCTACAGTCTACGGTCCTGCTAATGCCTGGATGAAAAAGCCGGTCGCAAGGCGCGCGATTTCAAAATCCCGACGATGTAATAGTTCAAGAAGACTCGAAAACACGTAAAATAAAGATAGCCGTATATACTACTAGAAGTCTTTCGTGATTTTAAAATAAAATAAAAAATAAACGATTTTTAAATAAACATTAAAATTTTTAAAATAAATGTTAACCTGCTGCCTTGGGACTTCTTCGTCTTTGGCCTCTTTGTAATAGTCCGCATATCATCGGGTATCGGCAATGTTGAAGCGTAGCCATGTTCAGCTTCTGCAACGCATAATGCGTTAGATTGGTGAGGTTATATTCAGCCATCTCTACGTACTGTAACGCGGGAGATTCAAAAAATTAAAAGTGAAAAACGTTTTTACTGTTATATCGCTTCACATATGCGTTCAAAAAACATTTCAAGATTAATAATTAAAATCCACAAGAGATTATCTATAATTCTTAAAGAAAATCTTTAAAAATTCGATCACGTTTCGATAAAAACATGACCCCCTCAAATGGTCTCTAAGGCCGCTGCAAATTGTTGAATCGAGAAAATAAAACGTGACTTAATATCGGCGCGTCCGTCGCTCGTTCACTGTAACGAGCTTAACAAGCTGCGAGTGCGAAGCTCACGTCGCTGTTCTTTCTCGTCGCACAATGCTCTTCGCGTAAAATTTAATCGGCACTTTGTTTTGTCAAATTTTATATTAATGCCTAGTTGCCTCTCTGTATCAATTCTCTCTAACAAGGATTTTTCTTTAATAATAACGTAATGAGTAGCTAAATGTATGGATATATATTAGTTATATGTATGAGAAGTTAAAAAGACCTTATAAATATTAATCAAGTTTGTCCACGATATCTGAAAAAGAACTGCCGAAGAGCCAACAGAGAAACAAAAAATCATATTTTACCAATATGCATACAGAAAAAGTTGACATTATTCAAACTTAAAACAGTTTGTTTTCCAACTTGAGTTCACATCTCATATATTTCCAACTGTGGCAATTCATATGCCATGTTTGTCTTATTTACCAAACCAAACCTAACCTAACATACTATTACTGAACATAATCTAATCTAACCTAATAAAATGTAATTTAATCTAACCTAATCTGATTTCATTTTTATTCTAATATATAGGTATTGAAAATCATAAGTATCGTGTTTATTACTTAAGTAAATAAATAAAATTATCTCATGGTTGGAGAACAGCGTAACACGTAGTTGCACTAGTCCATTTACGTTTTGCACTACTGAAAAAACTTATTTTATAACGTCACGCGTATTTTAATGACACGTGCACATATTATGTATTACCAGGTACTCGTGTATACGTAATGTTTTCGTTAGATGATTTGACAGTAATCGATAGGGACAAGAAGAAGTCAGCACTCACCTCTTTCCCTTCGTTCAATGTACTCGGCAGCCTGCAGTAGGGCAGCAATGCTCATATTTCCTCGGTTTGGCGTATTCCTGGCAACTTCCGTTTATGCTCACTCCTCTTCCCGCGCGTTCCGCGCCACGCGCGACGTAACACGCGCACGCACGCAGCAGCACACGCACACACACTCACAAAGGACAACAGACACACGCGAAGGAAGAGAGTGGGGAAAGCGGTCGCGTTCGAGATACGTAGCAGCGTGATCGTCGTGTCTCTCTTCGCGGCCGCCGCGCCGCCTCGGGCGACTTCGCCGCGCTTCGGTTATCTTCGGTCTGCGTAATCGTACTCACGCACCGACGCGCACCAAGCTTGCACGAGTAACGATAACCACGCGCACCGAGTGAGCGTGCGTGCACCAATCCTTTGCGGACGATGACGGCGACAGCGACGGCGATGGCGGCTGCGGCGGCGGCGGGTGACGAAGACAATGAATAAACTAAGATACGTAAAATGCGCTCCGCATTTATATCTTCTTCACTTCGCTCCTACACGATCTTCGGAGAGCTTTCGGCCTGCACTCGTGCGAATGAGAATCCACGACGATTCAGATTTAATGAGGAGTCCCCTTCTTCGTGATCAGCTGTCGCCAATAATTTTTACGCGGATTAATAAATTCGTTGCCGATGAATTCCACTTGATAATTTTGCTTTCCGATGATGCTTGTCTCTCTGTTCGAGGTGTTAGTATATGTCCACTGAATTATTAATTCCGCGAAATTATTGATAAATCCAATCGCCAAACGTCTTTTCCATTCGAATCTTTCTCGCCCGAGTGTGTTCCTTTAGCGTCCACTGTCTTTTTGAACACGTGAAGACGTGATGCGTTCCAGCACGCAGTCGCGATGAACCAACTGCTCCTATCCTTCGCCCTCTATTTGTTCCACCTTCTACCACGGCACTTGTGGTACACTCCTCTCTAGCTGCTTCCTGCTGCTCCTTCCTCACCCGCGCATCACCACATTCACCGCAAGACTAAATCACAAGAAGAGACCGATTACCATCATCGGTTACCGGTCGCTCGGCACTCTCGCGAATTCGCGCAGCGTAATCGGTGACAACAACACAACAACCGTCACGGTACCACTGATACGAAAGTGCCGCGCGACTAACTGCGCTTCTTCAAGCACTGTCGAGAAAAGCCGCTCACGAACAGCACCGAGAGAAGCCGATCGCGAGAAGAGACGAGAAAAAACCGATCGCGAGCACCGTTCTTCAGACTAGTCGGCGAGAGTGCACTGGAGGGACAATGGATTGAAGTGAAGCCACATGCATATAGTCGCATTCATCCTCGCTACTTTGACATTGTATCGTATATGATAAATATAATTTTTGGAAATTGGTAAAACTACATCTTGTAGGAAGTAAAAAAAAAAGGTCTCTACTTTGACGTGTATCGCCAAGGTCATGACGTTTGAATAACGTTTGAAAGGTCAAAATCGTCGTTTATTGTTGAAAAAATTATAATTAATTATTTAATCGTTCTGATAGTTTCCTATTTTCTTCAATGATATTAATCATTCCGTCAACCTTTTTATTTCTTTTGAAGTATTTTGATATATCAATATTATTCAGAGTTATCTCTTGTAGATAGTTTCAAACAAAAAAAATTAAGGGGATTCTGAATTCGATAACAAACTTGAAAAATATCGATAACGTAGATCTTTCCTTTCTCTCCTCTTGTATGACTATCTTTTGTGTGTTATTATCCTCTTTGTATTTTTTGTACAGAACTTACGTAAATATGTATTGTTTTATCATATTCAGCGGGAAACCCAACTACGTATGTGTAGAAATCTTTCTGTAAACTTTGCGAATATTTCAAGCTTCTGAATTTAGATGCGAAGATACAGCAATGTTCTTCAAAATTTTTCTGTTTGGAGCATCCATACTTTCAGTATGTACAAGCTGCGAAACTTTTGGATAAGGTAAATATCACGCTAATTGACAGAGCTTGAAATTTTATATTTAAAATTTTTTAAAAGATAACGTGATTGTGTGTGTGTTAATAACGATTGTCTCTGCGTTATCGATATTGTTCGGGTTCATCATCGACTTTCCAGTATCCTCTTAATGCAATATTAGCGATTTGATAAAACATTTATTACTGGAGATCCTAAAGCACAAAAATCATAAAGTAATTGTATAGACGATAAACGTCATAAATCATAAGTAATTATCAGGACTGCAAGATCATCATTGTTGATTATCGTCGACGTACAAAGTTCCTTTCCAAAATGTCAATAATCCCCTTGGTGGTTTCATATTTTGTGCGTACTCGAAAGAGGGAAGAGATCCGACCACTTTCTCGATACATTTCGGAACGCACCTGATACACAATAGAACGATTTATCTTGTTAGGATTTCTCAAAAACAGTGGTAGAACTATGTAAAAAATAGACGAAGAAATGGAAAAAAATTTCCTGTCTATACAATCACGTGCAACGATTCGTCGAGTTGTCACACGTGATTGTATAGACAAGAAACTTCTTTTTATTTCTGTGCTATTATTTTAACGTAGTCCCATCACAGGTTCTCCTATCGGATATCGGTTGTGTCCCGAAATGCATCGAAAAAACATGTTCAAACCTTTTTGTTTTCAAGCGTACGTCATGGGTAAATAACAATTATGCAATTTTTATGCTTCGGTAAAATACAGTCTGTGCTTTTCACTAGTGTTTTCTGATGATTCGATGCCTCTCCTTCCCTCTCTTTTTCCTTCCTACCCAAATGTCGAAAGTTTACACTACGTACGAATGTCTTTCTTCCTTTCTTGAAAAATGCAATTGCAAATAGTGAACGTTAAAATATTTATGATGCTTGGTGTATTCTGTATGACCATGGTGCACCGACATTGCGCTTCTCAGTGCCGATGATGCGTATACACATCTCATACATATCCACACACACATACGCACGCCGTGCGAAACATCGTACGAAGAGAGAGAAAGAAAAAGAGAGAGAGAGAGAGAGAAAGAGAGAGTAGGAGAGAGACAGAGTGAGAGAGAATACGCCTACGCGCGGTCGCGTAATGGGAGGAAAATAAACAGCGAGAGCAAAACGGAAACAGAAACAGCCCGAGGAAAAAGATAGATAGAAAGAGAAAGATAGACCGATAGATGGATAAATATAGAGAGGGCGATTGAGCGAGCGAGCGAATGAGCAAAAGCAAGAGATCTATTATATGCTTGGAAATGAAATTTCTTAAGCACACGGACAAAAGTTTATTTCTGTTATCGATTGATGACTATCTTTCACGTTACAACCAGAAGAATGTACAAGTTACCTTGAATTCACTTTTCAATGACCTTTAACGATTCCTCAATATTTCTTATATACGGAATAACGTGGAAAAAATCAATCTGCTTAAAAGAATTAATTTTTACTTGCGTCAAAAATTTTTTTTCAGTACCTTTATTCAGTACTATTGGGAACAATTGGGTCAAGTTTCACGAAAATCGGAGAACGGATTTTTTCAGAACCGCATCTGAGAGATGCCTGTAGTAAACAGTAGAATGTCACACCCGACATTTCACAGCTACAGGTCGCTTTGTCTCTCAGATTGGTATTGGATTGTGTCCCTTTCTCCATTGACAATACAAACACGTACCAAACAAGATGTTATGGGTTTCCTAATTTGATCACGCGCGTCAGTCTCGCGCACGTCATGTAACATCCGATGCCATTGTTCAATAGGTAATATTAAACATGAGAAATATTTTCTCCTTGACGTGTAACGCGCGTAAGAGTGCAGGACTTTTTCCACTCTAGACTTTTCGAAGAGGGGGGAGGGCTCGCTGTCATGCGAGTCGAGACTGATCGTTACAGGACGCAACGCGCGCCAGCTGATAACTCACAAACGAAGGTAGACAGGCAGGCAGACGACCTGGCCGCCTTCTCTCGCGCAACAGAAGTAGCAGTTTTTACCCGAACGTCCACTAGAATGCGCCAGCTGAGGTCCCTTCGTTTCCTCGTCGCGTACAGGGCATCCCGTACATACGTGTGTGCGTATATGTTCTTTCTACGTCGGCGCACGCACGCACAATACACACACATACACGCGTACACATCCACAAATTCACACCCCTCAATGTGTATTAATGTTTGCGTACATACGTATGAGCCTAACGTCCACCCGATGACATTTGGCACGATCCGCGACAAAGAAGTGTGTATTTACGCGAGAAGATAGGCGCAATCGAGAACGGTCATGGAGAAAGACAGAGATAGGTAGATAAACGTACAGATAGATAACTACGTAGATAAGAGAGTAAGAGAGAGAGAAAGAGAGAGAAAGAGAGAGAGAAACCGACACGACGGTGCCTGTGCACTGTTGTGGACGATCAGCACTGCCCAGCACTACTAGCAATCGTAGATAGGTTTCCCACAGGGGCGGAGGGGCACACGGCGGCGACAGCGGCGGTGGTGGTGGTGGTGGCGGGGAGGGAGGCTAATCGGACGAGCGAATAATGCCGAACGCGAGCGGCAGGATGAGGTTGACGATGACGACGACGAAAGACGCGACTCAGGCAACAACGCGACGGCAACGGTGATTCGAACGAACGAACGAACGGACGAACGAACAAACGTACGTACGAACGAATGAACGTACGAACGAACGAACAAACGAGCGAGTAAATGAGCGAGCGAGCGAGCGACTGCCTAGCACCTCCGCGCTTCGCGAGCACTCGCACGCATTTATCGATGTCAAACGCTCACCACGGCGGCAGCAGCGCTCTCTTTAAGCGCCGCGTGCTTACGGCCGTGCGGATTGGTCGAAAGCGGCGGCGAGCGCATCGCCTCGGCCAATCCGCGTGACCGTCACAATCGTTGTCGTAGCCATCGCGTGCCGCCACCAACACCCGCCGGCTGTCACGTGAATCTCATGCCCGAAAACAAAACAAACAGCTGGCCACCCAGCGTCGCCGCTGTCGTCGCCGTCGTCGTTGTCGTCGTCATTTTCCGGTGTGCCGAATAGTTCCGAACGCGACCGAATGAAACGCTCCTCTTCGTTTTGCATTGCTTTCTGCCTTCGTACAGCGTCCGCTCCGTAGCTTTAGTTAGCTTAGGTTAGATTTAACAAAAAGACCCCTCACTAATTTTGATGGGCTTTAGATATGATATATTGCAGCTAAAAATAAAAGGATGCATCTTTTGCGTTGTCCTTCAACGAACGTTTAGGGACTCAAGTAACTCTTCGAGAATAACGCAATGAAATTGATGATGAGCGAGTATCATGGAAATCGTGAGACATGAGAACGCATTTTACGAAAATTTTTTCGTAAAATTCTGCTATTAAATTTGTCAAAAATGTATTTTTCAACATTATCTTTCATTAAAGAGTTTTTGCAATAATACTTTTCAGATACGATAAACGCTAAAGTCACTTTATTGGATCGAAAGACGAAACTGCGCATGCGCATCGTTTATCGTAACGCTAACCAGATAACGTATGACGTTATTTCTAAAAGAATATAAGATTCACGATTAGCGTCGACGTTATAAGCTCCAAGACGAAATTGGGACGATTGCAGTTCACAAGTAGGGATAACTTCGTACTCTTAAGGAGGTTATATTCCATAATCCGTATAAAGGAAAGGAAATGTGGAAAACAATTGCACAGATTGTAAAAACAGCAACTCAAAAAAATTTTAGTGTGTGTGTTGTCCGAGAGCATCTGATCAATCTAGAGCATCTGTTAAAAAATTGGATAAAAACAAAATCGTGCGAATTTGAAAAAGTATTCTGAATATTTATGTAATCTACAAAATATATTCATAATGATACAGTCTTAAAAATATTACATTACTATCATGATTAGGTTAACATAATTTTAGATGAAAAATTCTTCTAACTAATCATATATTATATTATCATAAATTGGGGATAAAAGAAGAATACACAAAGAAGGAACAGTTTGAAGAAATGCAGCATGCTTCAAGAAATAAAAGATTTATAACAAGAATATAAGAATACATCTTCAGGAAAAAATAACTCCAACCTACAGAAACTAAAAATATAAACAAGAAATATAGCACTGCAAAATGTTTATCTATTGAGAACAAGTGAATTAGATCTGCAAAAACAATATCAATAGTTATTATATTTCAATAAATATATAATTTTTGTAATATGTATACTCTTATTACATAATGCATTTATAAATAAATATCAAAGTAAATATTCTGTAAATATAATAGTAAATGGATCAATATTAAAATACTGAATAGTTTGATTACTATATAAGCATGTATTTGCTAGAATTATTACTGTTTTATACATTGAAACTACATCTTACGCAATCTTAATGCAAGAGTTTCTAGTCTTTCTTGAAGGAATGTAAATTGTATTGTTATTTTTCCAAAACTCCATTTGATCACTTGTCTTATAGAGCTCATTTTTAAAGATCTTTTGTTCAAGAATCAATAATCTATTCGTATATGGTCTAAACAAAAGTTTAAGGATAGAATAAGCACGATTTCCATACAATACAAAATTAGCATCTGGATATAATGCACTCTCCTAATTATGAATAAAAGCGAATTTTTTAATGATTGTAAAAAAATATGAGATCATTGACTGTGCCACGTAATGCCAAATCAGCTACATTTATAGACATACCTGCATCATATTATCTGTCAGAATAAGATCCATGAAGACTATCATCTAGATATAGTACAGATTAATATTTGAGACAATAATGTTGTTTATAGTTAGAATAATATTCTTGTTGATTCACAGATGGTCTATATAATTGTTCGTGCTGTTCAACAAAACTCCAGAAATTTTGCACAGGTGTTCCTTTTGCTGAAACAGCCTTTTAAAACATAATACATAAATTTTACTTATTATTGTAGCAAAAACAAAAATTTTTTATTGTTTTACACGATACTTTTGTAAAGACAAATGTTGAAGAGAATTTTACGCTAAATTCATACATATAACAGTCATTTTCTAAAACCTTATCTAAAATCATTTTCCGAAACAATCTTAGTAAGTCAGTGCTGTAACTCGCTAAGAAAATTGCTAAGGTTTTTATAGCAAAAATTATAATACTTCACATAACAACCATCTCACCTCCGCTAATAGGCTGTCTGGTGCCATCTAGTGGTGTGTGTATCGCACAAATACCATTACCTCTTATTAGTTCTAAAACCTCCGCTACGAGTCGCCATCAATTAACAAAAAATCTAGGCCGTAGTACAACTCAATAACAGGTCAGTTGGATCTTTATTTTTAAGTAGTAGTACTCAACGACTGATAAGCAAATTTTATTTGGTCGAGTTTTTTAATTCATCAATGAATCCATTAAACAATATAATCCCCTTTTTGAACAATATAATTCAACAGAGAGAGAGAGAGAGAAAGAGAGAGAGAGAAAGAGTCAAGAAAACTTCTATCCGTAATTAGTACAATCTAATGACAAATTAGACGAATTTTTTTAAACGAAGAAATTGTCGTAAAGGAAACTTTTAAATTTTTTCAAACATCGATTTATCGGTTGTATGTCGACTATCCCTACTCCAAAATGTATTTGAGTTTGTATGACATGCGCAGGCTCTTTCTTATATATTCGTGAGTTGGCACGATCAGCCGAGATCAGTCGGTTGCGCGAACCCGTGACGTACGTGTTGTCGTTGCTATTTAATACGCTCTCGGTCGATTTGACGGCGAGGGCAGCGGAGGTGCGGTCAGCCGATGCGGCGGCGACGACGATTAGAAAGCGTGCAAAATGGCGCCTACGCGTGTGATTTTGATGTCATGCGGCAGTTATAACCCGCCGACCAACATGCATTTACGAATGTTCGGTACGTATATGTCGACTTATTTTTAGTTTCCCCCCACAACATTATCGATAACGTTGAAGTTACGTCGCGTCATATTTCGCCATCGTGCGTGATATTATGCTGTCACGCGTGCGTATTATTACCCTCGTGTTGTTTGCGTGATAAAACGTCTGTGTTCCCTTGTTTGTGCTTCTTGTTGTGCTTCTTACTTGTACGTGTCGCTAATATCAAGTTATTTATTATCTCACACAATTGTGCACAGTCTTATTTATTATACATGTATTTGTATCATATTGCGCTTGGAGGATTTTTCTTAACAAAATAACATTTTATCTATTTGTTTGCATTTCCTTTTTTTTTTTTCTTTTTTTCATTCAATGCTGCACTATATTAAATATTTTTTAAAGTAGAAAGAAGATTGAGTCTTGGAGAAAATTTCACACAAATTTGAGTATTATATACCTTAAGGTAAACCTATTATTTTTCTAGCAGTACTTCCACTTCTATCGTGACCTCTACTAGAACAGAACTAAAGCAGAGGTAAAAAATTTCTATGGATTTTAGAAATTGCGCGAGATCATTTGCATCGAATGGGTACACATGTAGTCGTGGGAGGAGTGATCTCTCCGGTCCACGATGCATACGCCAAAAAGGAGCTGGCCAGCGCGACCCATAGATGCTCCATGTTGCGACTGGCGTTGCAGAACAACGACTGGATACGTCTGAGCACATGGGAGACCAGGCAGAACTGCTGGACAAAAACACGTCTGTGCCTCCAGCACCATCAGAATCTACTCAACTCCATACTCTCCAATTCCAACGACATCAAGCACCACATGCAGATAGAAGACATCGATTGGATCCCGGAGAACGTACGTAACAGTTCAGACAACACACCGATACAGATCAAACTGCTCTGCGGTGCGGATCTGCTGGAGAGTTTCGGCATTTGCGGTTTGTGGCTCGAGGAGGATGTGAGTAGAGCGAAGTAGAACATCGAAGAATCAAAGTAACATCGATAAACATCTAAGATATATTCTTGTTGCAGATCGACGCGATTGTCGGTGAGCATGGTCTCGTAGTCATAACCCGGGAAGGCTCCAATCCTAACAAATTCATCTATGATTCGGACATCTTGTCGAAGCACATGGTAAACGAAACGCCTTCTGTTTAAAAATTACATACCCAGCAAAGTTTCTTCACGCGATAAAGAATCAATAAGCTTTCTTGAACGTAAAGTAGCGCAACCAAGAAAATACACCAAGTTAACGAATGACAAGAGACTATGAAGCAGGCCATGTTATGACAAATTCTAGACCATTGCACAGCTCGATCTTTTTCTCGTTATATTTTCAGCACAACATTTGTATCGTAACCGAATGGATCCCGAATGAGGTAAGCTCGACGCGGATTAGGCGGGCTTTGAAGCGTAGCGAGAGCGTCAGATACTTAGTGCAGGACTCCGTCATCGACTACATCTACAAGAACGAGATTTACGACACAAAAACTATGGACATAACAATGTGAGTCTCGAATTCCCTGTTTGGCGCAACCAGCACTTCTCTAGACACATCTCCATTCTGTCTGGATAGATTTCTTTATATCACATTGTCATTTGTTACTCTTTCATTTCGTCGGGAAAGTATAAGAGAAAAGTAGGAATGTATCTAAATTTTTTCGGATCAAATTAAGTTAATAGTTCAATTTATCTTAAGGGAAAACTAGAAAAAACTTCTCAAATACACGTAACATAAAACTTGGAAACTTCTTTTATGTGAAAAAAGTTAATATATATTAACGAATTTCGGTTGCTCTTTAAATTTGATGTAACTAAATGATTGGAAGTTTTCAAATTTTATAGTTTAATTTGAGAAATTACTTAACTGATACAATCTTTGCATTAATTACTCGAAAAACTTAAAGAATTCATGAGTACAAAATTTTTGTGATCCTAGCGGATAGGGCTCGCTGTAAATTAGTTAAAGTAAATTTTTGCGGAATCTTTCGTATTTAATACAAAAATTGTATATTCTTGCACTACCAATTTTAATTGGCTAATTTAGAGGATGTTATGTGTGGTGGTAAACTCTTAACTCTTTAACCAAAGTTAAGTAGTATTTTTGCTGTATATATTGCTCAATCTAGTCTTCCTGATTGTCTTTCGACAAAATGTATAATATTTGTTTGAGGAATATTTTGTTCTGTTTATTGTGTGTAATTTAAGTTTAAAAATCTTATTTTCACAAACAGCGACATCCAATAAACTTTATGGCGCGTGTCACTTTCTTATTTTTTAAGTTCTTTTCTTTTTAAGTTAAGCTAAGAATTTTTAATTTAGTTGATGTTTAATAAATTTTTTACAATGTCATATTTTATTTCTTATTCTTCCTTATAACTTACACGCAAAATCTCATCCTTCACATTTTTTCATATGCACATAATGAGTCGAACACTATCGGAGGTCTAAGATATTCCTGCATCGTGGCCCATAGATACGGTTACACGGTATTGAACTAATCAATAAAGGGTTTGATCTTAGAAAATTCATACGATGCGCGGATATCTATAGACACGATGCGTTTAGCTCGACAATATCTAGTTACAGAAGTGAGAGTACTTAATTTAAGTATGAAAGCAATGTCCTATAAAGAATTGTTTTTTTCACGCTGCCATTGCGCCGGGACACCGTTGGTTGGTTGGACACTGAAGTAAGTTGGAACTGCCGTCGCCGAACGCGAACAACTATCTGCACATAGAGCCCCGTTACCTGAACGCGTTCCTAACGCCGTCGCCCAGCGACGTGACTATGGGCTCGCCGAGCCCGACCGAGATCATAAGCGCCGTGTCCATCGACGTACCGGACGCGGTGCTCTGCAAGAACCTGCAAAATGTCGTGGGCGCCGCCGAAGCTCGCGAGCAATTCATTAACGCGTTAACCGTCGACAACGGCAACGTCAGGCATGTAGCATCTAAAGCACCTGCGTACCCGGGTCAGGCGAAACAGATCGTCATCGCCAGCGAGAACGGTGTCGTGCGAATTGTGGACGAGGTAGGTGGTCCGCTCGACGAGCCCACGACGAAGCTTCGTCAGCCTGGTCCTTCGACTTCTGGCGAGCGTGCGCTGGAAAGAGACCGTAGATCATCTACGGTAGAAGGTGTAGCAAAGGGTAAAATTGATGTCGGACAGAGAGAGACTTCAGATTTCAGGTCTGACACGGAAATCCCGGGTGTAGACTTAGATCGTGTGAATGAGGATCGCGAAGTTGTAGTGAAGATACAGCCTGGTTTGTCAAATTCGAGTGAATTGAAGGCACTAGAAGAAGGTAGCAGTAGGTCGACAGTAGGCGCGAAACGCAAAGAGGTATTAGACTTGAGATCTAAGACGGAAATTACTGACGCAGACATAGGCTTGAGTGACAATTGCGGGGTAATAGTGAATATTCAACCTGCTTCGAGCTCTAGCGAAGTAGCGTCGAAAGAAGGTCGTAAATTGGTAACGGAGAGCGTGGCGAGAGATAGAACTACGGTTGAACAAACGGAAATCTTAGATTCGAGATTCAAGCCAGAAACTGTTGACGTGAGTTTGGGCTCGAGTGACGATCATGAAATAATGCAATCGAGTTCTAGTGAACTGCGGCTGGGGGAATGTTGTTGGCCGAGGAGAGGAAACGTTTCGAACGACAGGGTTGAAATTGACGGTATAGAAATAATCGAGATAGATTCGAGTAGCAGTGCCAGTGAGTCACGACAAATCATAGACAAAGTAGACTCGGATCAGACTGGTTTTAGCAGAATTGCATTGGAGCAAAGTTCTGCATTGATTGTAGATAATGTCGTTGGAGGAAACGTTAGCTCCGAGGGAGTCAGTTTGAGGAAAGGACTAGTAGAACCTTATTCGGACCTTATTCGTGTGAACGATGTCGTCAAGGTGCAACCTGGTCACTTGAGTCATAGCATAATCACGGAGAAAGAAGATCATAGTTTAAGGATAGGAAAGACTAAAGCTAAACTCGATGAGGTAAAAACCAGCTCTGAACATTTAGGTCAAGATAGTAAAGTGTTAGGTGCACTTCAGGAAATTCTTCTAGAGGAAATTGTAAAGGATAACTATGTATTGGATGATAGAGCAATCGATTTTAGAAGAGAAATTGCCGATTTCGAGGTAGATAAGATTAAAAATCTGGGAATCAAAGCGACGGCCTCGCCGTTAAACGTCTCGATGACATCACTCGATGGCCGTCACGAATGTGCGCTCTCCGACTTTAGCGTAGACAAGGAAGACTATCGGCTTAGCCAGTACGGTTCCGAGGAAGATGAAGAGGAGGAAGATAAGTTTCTATATAGTGCCAAATTAAGTTTAACCGACGATCAAACAGAGGATACGATGTACAGTACGATTGATTCTCCGAATGACAGTAAATCAGGTGCCAATATTCAAGTAGTCAGCATGATGGTTCGCAAGAGCGATGAAGATGTATCTGAAGATCTTACGACCGATGAAGAATTACGATTAAAGTTCGTCAACGAAAGATTACCTTTGCAGGGCCAAGAAGACAAAATGATGAACATTACTAAAAGTGAGCAGGTAGAAGAAGCATCCAGAACGATATCTGGCGATCCTAGTCCTGAGATAGACGGCAAATATCGGAAATCAATTGTAAACTCGCGCAAAAGTCCAAGGAAAGTCAAAGAAGGACAGATGCGTGACACCGAACTGAAGGAACCGAAGAATCAGCAGGAATTGCAATCCGAAGTTCTTCAGAATTCTTCCATAGAGACTAAAAGTTCCAGAAAGGTCAAGCAAGAGCAGATCACTGAAGTTGGCGTTAGTACTGAGAATAAAGATCAAATCATTAACGATCAAAAGATATCTTGCTCAGAAGAAGTCTTCCAAAATTCTTTAAGAACTGCTTCCACGAAAACGAGGAGTTCCACGAAAGTTGGGAAACATCAGATTGGCAAGAATATTTCTCAAAAATGTTCAACAGTGTCTTCTAGCAGCACAAAGAGTCCCAAGGAGCTCAGAGAAAAACAAACTTATCATAAAAGCGGCGAGATGAAGGATTACGACCGATCTATCAACGATCGCGTTATTTCCCAGCTCGAACAAGTCTTCCAGAATTCTGCAAAGAAATCCTCCACGAAGACAATAGAAAGTCCCAAAAAGATTCCCGAAGGCGAAATGAAGAACCAAAGTCTGCCAACTCATCGACCTGCCGATAATCGACAGGCGGATGAAGAAGTCACTCAGCATTCCTCCAAAATATCTTTTACAGAAAGCCTGAGGAAAACTCAAAATCAAAAGGACGTGAGAGCGAACGACGTGAAGGTTACCGATGATAAAACGAAGCGAGACCTCAATGAGATCAAGGACGTGTACACGAGAAAGGTGCGACGTTACAACGTACCCCTTCAGGGCAGCTTGGACTCGATGATCGTGTCCGATGAGCCATTCGCGCCGAAGCCCAAGAAGGACGACACCTTCTCGAAGAAGTCCAAGAGCTACGAGTCAATCAAGCGAATTCAAGAGGTGTTCTTGGGCGCGCCGGGCAAGATGTCGAATAGCGGTTCACAGCTCGACATCCCGGACGAGTTCTGCTCCATTTGCTGCTACATGAACGAGATCACGTTTCGCACGGAGGAAGAGATCAGCAGTCCGAATCAGGAGACCTTCTACACGCTCAGATCCACCTGCAGCTCATTGGCCGACGACGACGACTCCACCGAATGCGACATCTGCGGCTCGTTGAATCAGCAGGAGGCCGCCGATGCTCTCGAGGGTAAAATACTGATAGACTCGGCTCACGAAGAGATTCCCTGCGAGCTCTGCAGAATCTGTGGCGAAGTGGACGGCAGTTACGATCCGAATGCCATGATACCGGCGGACAGGTACGCCTTTAGGCTCGTTGAGCCAAGCCAAGACGACGACGACAGCTTCGAGATTGAGAATTGTGGTTTCCAAAGCGGTACGGAATCGGCCGACGACCGAAGCCGAGTCTCCGAGAAAGAGAGCATCAAAGACTCCGATAAATCCAAGTCGCGATCGTTATTTATTCATGGCTCCTCGATGACGAGAGACCAGCCTCGAGAGTTATACTTTATTCCCAAGGACGAGATCGCTATTCTAACAAGTGGAGCGAGAAAGATCAACCGCAAAGGTTCTTTGTTCAAGAAGAAGGAAGAACAGAATACACGCGATAAAAGACGATACTCATCAGTGGATAGTCTGCAGTTGGCGAAGATGTCCGCGAAGACGAGCGCAAAAGCACTAAAAAATCCGAGTCTCGTCGCGTCCGCCGATAATCTGCGGATCTTGCGGCAAGGGTCGAGAAGGTCCAAGTCCTTACAGAGATCAACCGACGATGTAGGCCGCCGGGACTCTCTCACTGACAATTTGGTCTCATTGACGGAGGGTCTAGCAGGAAAGGAGGAGGACGCAGCGCAGACATCGGCAGATTCGAGCCAAAAGCCTAACACCCGTGACAAGGAAGCGGTAAAGATGATTCTCACGCAACATGGAATCAAGATTATTAGCGAGAAGGAGACTGCTTTGTAATAGGAATAGTCTGAGCATTGAATGACCTAGACGGAGTGTGCGTGAGAACTGTTGTAGAAATGACTCGCGAGAAAAGCTATTGATCTGGATGAGTAAATTCGAATTAAAATCTCTATAACCGCTTGTTTATCACTAATTAAATATTGAAAGTGGAAACACTTTCGAGCTTTTTCTCGATATATATATATATATATATATATATATATATATATATATATATATATGAAATGAAAAAATAAATGTCAAATGGATTATTGTAAAAATAATAGACATAACGTAATCATATATGAATCATGAATTGTAATTGCGCCGATATTTTGGCTTTGCATAAGCATTTATGCCGTTGCAGTATCATGTAATTATTGTGTGATAGTTGTACTGTTGTTAATATTACCGTATAATTACGAACGAAACTATATATAAATCGATAGCTCGGTATCGATAGAAAGGACCAACAGCGGAAATTGTTATTCCCGATCAAAGATCGGGAAATTGTTGGATGATTTATGCAAGCCTTGCAAACGACATAACAAGACAATCTTAGTAATATTACTGTTAATACCAAAAAAAAAAAAAAAACCAGAGAGCCGTGTTACAATTATGTGACTGTAAATAATGATGCGATACATCGATTTAATGAGACAGCGCTTCGCTCAAAACACTATTCGTGAAAAACGAATAGCGCGAAGTGTGCGAAAAGTAGTGCCAGATGTGCCAAAGATATGTGATATAGTATTTGCATTACTTTATTACTCATCCATTTGAAGAATTTCTTCGCAAGATCAGTATTACTGTCTGTGGTATATTTTTTTCATCGTTAGCATTTGTCAGCATGCTGTTTGATGAAATCCAAAACGAAGAGTTTCTTTCTGAGATCAGTATCGTTAGTACTTCGTCCGTAGGAACCTTTCTATCATCAGTTTTGATCGGTTAGTTATCGTTGTTAGTTGATGCATAATATTGATATGCATTACTGATCGTATTGAAGACCCCATGAATGCTGTTGTCTCCTACGACCCGCTTAATACTCCTCTTAGCGGCGTTCAATAATGCATTTTTTATCTTTGTTAGGCTCATCAAGCTATCATTGAGTATTTAGAATGTCAACCCCCTTTATTGATGAGTCCTGTCTTCCTCTGTTGCATGATGTTACGTATCTTCATCGTTTGAGACATATTCTTTGAGTTATGATAGAGAAGTGTTTTGACGTTTTTGGATGTAACTTTTATTACCGCATCGGAAATATCCTTAAGGATTAAAGTGAAATTGTCGTCGCATACAGTGCATATCCTATTTCCATTAGGAGAATACATACTACGTACGGAAAATACAGACGGAATCCTAAATTCTGATTCATAATCTCAACTTTTCTCAACGCTTTGTTCTCATTAATCGAGCCCTAACCTCCAGCCTGCAATTTTAACATTCAATGTGTTGACTGATGCGAGTTCAAAGCCTTAAGCCTTAAAATTAAGCCTTGGAATGATTATTACATTAGCTTTTTCTTCTTTGTTCTCCTTCTTCTTCTTCTTCTTCTCTTACGTCTACGTTGCGTTCTTGTGCACTCCCGGATCTGTTCTGACGAAAGTAAACTATGATTTCGTTAACAGGACTGCCATCACGCTACTTTTTAACGGCTGTAAAACAAAAATATTATAACAATATCAATTTGCTTTCATATGTCATCTTGAATCATGTATAAATTATCAAATTAATTATTATGACTTTCTCGTAATCAAATTAATTTATAAAATTTATATTATAAGGATTTTTCTCTCGACAGATGTGTGTGTGTGTGTGTTGTAATTTCAAAAAATAGAAGTACACTTCAAGTATAAGATCAGTCATATAGATAATGAATAATCAATATGAAATCCAAATTGATGGCGTGATGACGGTCGATAATAAAATCTTTTTGCCTCTGATGGAGCATGTGACGTGTGTTTTTTCCAGGATACAACAAAACCTGCATGCCTACTGTAAGACAGATAGTTGGCTGTCTCGTTGCTGCCCGACCGATCCGATGCCGGCCCCGGCTTCTTCTTTCTGCTAAAAGCCCTAATTGCGCTACTAACAATCCTAATCAGGAAACTAGCATGGTTGTTAGCAGCAGCGGCAGCAACAACAACTACAACAACAGCAACAACATTCATAATAACAACGAGAGCGAGAACGCACGGAACCGATATCTTGATCGTTCTTACATCTAATTATTCCATTAAGACTCCTGGCCTCTCGCATTGTCTATCTCTTTTTAATGATGTCAGAAGCGAGAAAATGCATGCTAAAAATTCTTGCGAAATCCGTTAAAATAAAAATATATATCCATAAAGTAACACTTGCAATCGATTAAACAAATTTGTAAGATATTCCGTGCAATCCCCTTTTCCTCTAACAATCAATAATTTGTCGTAAATTAACGTGACATATAATTATATGATCAAATGAACTCCTGAGTAAAATTCATAATTACGTAGATGCTTTCGTCCGAGTAGATATATGTAGTCATGCTGCATATCTATTCGGACGAAACGCATTTAGCATAATTCACCTTCTTAACCTATTTCTATTCATATTAATTTACAATAAATTATTAATTGTTAGCAAAAGGGAAGTGCACGGAATATCTTACAAATTTGTTTAATCGATTGCAAGTGTTACTTTATGGATATATATTTTTATTTTAATGTATTTGCAAGAATTTTTAGCATGCATTTTCTCGCTTCTGACATCATTAAAAAGAGATAGACAATGCGAGGGGCCAGGAGCCTTAAATCTATTATTCATTTCCCAGGCAGCAGAAATCTCCAAAAGATATCTTGGGGATGTCTCTAGGACGTAGGACGTCATTTGGATGTCCTTTGGACATTTTTAGGACGTTCCTCGGATGTATGTGCTGTCTGGGTCGTTTGCTATAGATTTTTTAGTACAAGCCCTTGAAACGTCGGATATAATAGATAGCACGAGAAAAAAGTTGTTTCTGCATTTTTTTACAAGGTGGTTATATTTTTACCAGCCTAAGAGTGTTTTTCACCGATGCGTTTTGAAAATTCAAACTACTTAATCAGGGTTACTTGTTACAAATAAAAGTAAACGCTTTTCAAAACGCTTTAGACAAAGAGAGTACCGCAACGATTAAATACAATTAATATTATATATTTTATTGCATCGTAGTTTTATTGTCATAGTTAATCATAATAATTAATAACCATAATTATGGTAATAATTGATCATTGCAGGTATTACTATAATTATTATACGACTGTAACCATATGAATATATATATATATA